TGGTTACGATTCATTTGCACCATGCCTATGAGACTATACACTGTCACTGTATGATTGTTTCAATACTACATCTACTGTACATATACATGTAATTTGCGATATCTCTTTTCTAATATCATACATCTCTTGTAATGTTTTTGCAATGATTGCCGAAAATCCACTCACTATTCATGCTGTTACATGTACATTTTCATTGTTATTGACTCCTTAAGTATGACCTTCGTTCATTCGTTGTACGATTCTAGATATTGATTTTCCCCATTGAATTTTTATTTCATATAAATTTGAATTATGTATTTTTTGTAGTCATTAAAATATTAAATGCATTTATATCCATATTGTACAGTCTTACAGTATATTCATTTGCTGAGAGTCACTCCTGGTATAAATCACAATGTATTTGTATGTACTGTATGTATTCTTAATTTCTTATCCCTCTTCACTCTCTCTGTCTGTCTCTCTCTCTCTCTCTCTCTCAGTCTCTGACTGTCTCCCTCCCTCTAACCCTCTTTCCCTACTTACCCTACTTCCGTCCCCTTCCTTCGATTCCCCTCTAAATACCCTAGTCTTTCCTCCCACTAACGAAAACTATCTATCACTTCATAATTTAGAATGTATCAGGTACTCAGTTAGCATAAAATAGATGGTTAGTGGTTGAATCAATCAAATCACTTCATACATTATGTACAGTAATTTACAATCTCTTCTTCCTCTAGACACACCTTACCCTCAATATCATTGTACTGTAGTATACACTGTACATATAATCTCCCCATCATTTCTGTCTTGTCTCTCCCTCTCTGTTTCTCTCCTCCATATTATTGTATTACAACGATAATAACTATGTATGGTCAGACAAACACTTTGTTGTATAGCATTAGCATAGTCTGACATCTACGCATGCACTGATTTATAGACCTTTAAATGTACCAAGTGATCTGACCGGGAGACCTACAGGATATCCTACACTCCCGTATAGATGATGATGATGATGATGTATTTGTAACTTGTAAGACATTTTTTGTTTGTGATTTTGTTTTTGTCTTTTTTTCTTCATTAGGAAATAGGAGAAAAATAAGTTTTCTACGAAATACCATAAGCTGCAGTGATGATATCCAGGTAGGCCTATACCCAATGCAACTGTAGTGTTGGTGTACAAGTACCAAAACAAAACAATAACAAGATCAAAAAACAATACCAAGAACAAAAACAATACCAAGAACAATTACAAAAACAATTCTGTATACTAATGCTGATGCTGAAAAACTAAAACTTCCTATGCAATTGTGTTCGCAATAATATTAATAAAGCCTACACTAGTACAGGTACATCATGTGTACATGTATATCCATATTAGTCTATATCAGTTAACTTACAGGTAATACAAAGTTTTGGTATGGGGTCATGAATTTGGTTAAAATGAACATATTGGAAGCATATGCGATCCGACAATACTCAGTGATCTTTGTCGCGGTTGAAATCGAGTCTAAAGTTATGAAATTATAAATAATAAACTCTTTATGTTGTATAGCTCCCTCTCAAGGGGCTGTTTTAGGGGCTGAATTTTCTAGTGCTTATAAAACATCTACAGGGGCATCCAAAAATATAAAAATTGTAAAGAATCACCATCCACCCAATTTTCAAAATTTCCCAAAACTTTGTAGACTACACTGTACCTTTAATGACAAAGTATTTACAGTAATTCATTTTCCTCTATTCATTTTACACACAAGATGAAATAATACCCTTTTCTAATGCATTGACATTGTGAGCTCCAAGTGGTCAATTTACATTTCGACAACTGGTATTAATAATATGGTTTAACAGTCTAACAACAAGTAGCTTGGTCAAAACAAAACAGTGGGCAAGACACTTATTAAATACATTTATCATTTTATCATCCATGAGTAATACAATAACAGGGTCATTGACCAAGCCAATGTTGACACAAATACATCTTCAGATGAACAAGATGAAAATAATCAAATTACATTTAAAGTATCTAGATTCAAGATTGACTTCATTTGTGTCAGAATCAGAATCTCATACTCAGAGGTCAGAAACAGGTTGGCCCAATTTTGGGAATAAAAACAGGAGCAAGCAATTAATGGGTTTAAAATTGCCTGTTGATAAATCTAAGGTGCATGCATCAGGTTCTAAAGGGATAGTGGGGGTATTCGTCACTATGACTCACCATCTCTATCTCTATTTGCCAGCGCCATAGTTTCATCAGGGGTCGACTTTCAGTGGAGCGATGGAATCTCTGTAGTGTTCACGCAATTACTCATCGGCTGCGAGACGATGCACACACCGACAGGCACCCGCTATGTTGTTCTCGAATGCCCGCTGAGGTTCAAACTCGGTGTCGCACAGCTTGTCGTGCAAAAACTCGGTAAATCAATGGAATACACAACGATCTCCTCGTATCCGAGCTCAATAATTGATATTTTCCAATTGCAAATTTATATTCCGCCTATTTTGTTGTAAAATCCACTAATATCAGCAAAACTTCGGAAAATAATGATGCCACCCGAACAATTTTCGTGATGACTGTCAAACTAAAATGTTGATAGAGGGCGCTCATAAACTTTCGTCGCTAACTTTCGTTTCTGTGACGTGTAGGCCTATCCTTCTTCTTTTTTCCCCCGCTCCTTATTGTCTCTCTTCCTCCCTATTACGTGTTACTCCTTCTTCTCCTCATTACCCTTTCCCGTCTTCGCATGTCAAGCGTGTGTTATTCTTTTGCTTTACCTTAGACATAGCCGGGGCACAATTACTTCATAGGGGGGGGGGGGGCGATTATAAGTCCTCCCTAAAACTTTTCATTTCCAAACTTTGCGAGGGAACTTTTCATTTCCAAACTTTGCGAGGGAACTTTTCATTTCCAAACTTTGCGAGGGAGCAAACAAGTGAGTAACATGCAAAAGTTGCCACCTTATTATGGTTAAGAATATTATTTCGTTATGAAAATGTACTTTACCCCCCCCCCCCCCCTCCCCCTCCCCTGGGCTACCCTCCATGCAGTCACCCCTTTCCCTACTAGTGCCACTCTATCATCATAAAGCATATATAGAGAAAACATTAACATCAAAAACATAACAAATCAATTCGGTAAATTGTACAAACTAATTAAAAGCTCTATACTTTTTGATTGATCTTCTTTCTTAATTTGTATCGGCGGGGGGGGGGGGGGGGGGGAGGCTGTCTGTGCCTGTGGTATCCATGTGGTCTTCACTATATGAATATGACGGACAAAGAAAGAGGACAAAATATACAGTTCCTCATTCTACCCTCAACAATTGCTGTGGTAGACAAAAGAACATACCTTCACTGCAATTTAATGATGTAAATGTAACATTTTTCATGCCTTCTCACTATACTTCCCTGTCCTCTAACTTCTCCCCCCCCCCTCTCTCTCTTACTTTTTCTCTTTCCTCTTCCTTAACGCCTCTCTCTTTATTCATCTGGCTCTCTTCTTTTCTCTTTAAATTAACTAAGCTTCATGGTTAATATGCGTGATAAAATTGTAAATGTGCGCGCGAGTCATTTAAAGGGACTATGTCCCATTTGCAGGCCAAAAAAATGAAAAAGTTAAATTCCAACTGCATTTGAAAGATAATACTAATTTAGAACTTCCCTAAAAAAGGTGGGGCTTGAAAATGTCTTCAAGTGGGAAAATAACGACTATTAGTTGTCAAATCGACTTTAGGGCTATAGAGCCCAAAAGTAATAGTCTTGATTTTCAGACAATTGTATCGAATGGTCATACGTTTTATGCTGCGCAAAGATTCAATCAGTTTATCTTGGCCATCACAAGAAGTGGGTTATTGATGTAGACAAATGCTCATGTACCCTTTACAACTCTTTTCATATATGTTATTACCAAAGAAGAAAAAAAGCCAGGCAGTCACTCAATAGCGTCTGACAGTGAAGTCTAGCAAGTAAACGGGTTTCCTTGCATAATTTGAATATGAGGACACTGCTAACGTTTAAATTTCACAGATAGGACATACATGACATATTCATAATTCCTGCAAAGTTCTACAGAATTTGAGGTTGGCTGCAAAAGGGACATAGTACCTTTAAGGTGGTTTATAGGCACATTCTTGTTTTGATAATAATGATGGGATGACACTATTATCATCGGGTACAAAAAAGGCTTAAAACATGAATTATTTGAAATATCTCTTCAAATTTTATCTCTTTCTCTTACTTGTCTGCTTCTTTAACCAGGTGTATACTTAATAAACTCTAGATTACTTTGTATTCCTCGCTCACATCATGTCCTTCATTTCCTTGTTCTTTTCTGTGAGGCGCAGTCTCTCTCCATTGTTTGTCATGGGGGTGTTTCATAAAGAGGCTCATAAGTAGGACACTTAAGAGAGACTTTGGGGTTCATGTCTACTATTGTCTAGACATCAATTCTTAATGAAACACCCCCTGTACTTCAAATGTTCATTTATATATGTTTGTAAACCACCTACTAATGAGGAGAGAGAATCTAATCCTAGTCACTAGGCATATAATCTGTGGTATTTCTTACCAGTTTTTTGGGCTTTGAACATTTTTGTTCTAGATGAAATTTTCCTGGAAATTAAATAAATAAATACAAATATAGTACAGAGAATATTAATTTAGATGTTCAAACTATCTTATCTAAGTTAATATCATTTTAAGTGATAGCACAGAATCACCAGGTACTCACACACACTGGCATAGCCAGACTGAGGGAAAGGGGGGGGGGGGGGGGGGGGGCTTGGTGACACACAAAATCACATTAGTACACACATATAGTGTGGATGCCCTTTTGTAACAGAACATGGGGGCTACCCCCCCCCCTCCCCTTCCCCTTATGTTTATATGGTCATGCATCATGTTTAATAGGCATAACACATCCCAATGTCTAAATATCAGAACATTCAGAACATACATAATGATTGTCACAATTTGACACAAGGATTCTAAAAGCATAACTACAAACATAATGAAGACAAAATAGCTTCGATCAGAATATCAAAATATATCTTTTAATCAATTATCGCCTGAGAATTTCTAAAACAGATACATAGACTATATAGATATAAATTTGTTGAAATGATTGTAAAAAAATTATCGATATGAAATGTATGATATTGGTGGGCTCTAGTTACTCAAAGAACAGGAATGGAAAAAAATCAGACATATCAGGCAACAGATTCATTAAATTCATCCATGATTCTTACACAATCCTTTAAAATTAGTACTGTAAAATATTATTATGTTCAAGATAGATGAAATTTATATGAAACTCTCATAAAGAAACGTATAAAGAGTCGTTGTAAAGTGAAAGAGGACTACACACTACATAACATCATCTTATATTTACTCTTTGGTTTGAAGAGGTCAGCTGACAAAACAGCTAGCCAATCCTCAGTGCACGCTCACCACAAGCCCCGCCCAGTGATTACATTCAGTACAATACGACATTCAAATGAGAACAGGACCCTGATTCTTTAGGAATTTGTTGTATGATAAGATGCTCAAACATCCATTTCCCTATACATTTATTCATGCATTGTTTGTTCCTATAAAATTTTAATTTTAATATACAGTAGGCTTGTGGTTGCACCATGATATCTAAATCACCATTATTATTATTATTACTTATAAGCAGCATCTAACAATTTAATAGACGAGAAGGGAAAAAGGTTATCACTTATAGTACAGTTATACAATTCTCATATAGCGATATAATGACTTCACCATTACGGCGCCCTAGCATTTCTAGGAATGAATTCCTGCCAGGTACCCATTTACATCACCTGGGTTGAGTGTGGCAAATGTAGATCAATATCTCGCCAAAGGACATTAGTACCGCAGCAGGATTCGAACTGCAGACCTTACAGTTCAGTGATTTATCCACTCAACCACGACACCTCTACATGTACATGCATCATATATATATTAATAACAATATTCAGCCTAGACAGTTATTGCTTTCTCCATTGTTGTTCTTCCTCTATTTCATGGGGGGGGGGGGGGGGTTACCATGTTAGAAATTGTTGTATGGAATATTGAAGAAAAAAAATCCCTCTACCTTACCGCAATTATCCCATGAGACTTGAATTCAGATTTGCAAGTTACATGTATCTGTATTTCAGTATAAGTAGATATTCATTTTTGATATACATGTACATTGTTGTTTATTCATCTTTATTCAAGAAAAAACATATAAAATAATAATAAAGATGTTACATAAAACCCATGACTGAGATTTGAATTACATTGGATGCATCTCATGTAGGGTTAAACAATTACATACACATTAACAAAACGGAAAAGAGAACATTTTAACGACAGTTTTTTTTAATGAAAACATTAATAATTCCTAACAAAGAAAAACTAAATTATTTTCTCAATTAGGAATACCTCACTATACATTTATATGCCATGGTCATATCTATCAATATCTTCTTAGTATCATGAGTAATCAACCACAGGAACCTATCTCCATAGAGAGAGAGAGAGAGTGGAAGAGAGGGAGATGGAGAGAGAGAGGGTTGAAGAGAGGGAGAAGTAGAGAGAGAGAGAGAGAGAGAGAGAGAGAGAAATAGATATATATTTCGGGTTAGTCTAATACAGGCCTTCTCAGCTAGTTTATTAGAAGCGCCAAAACAAACATTTATTGAGGTTGAAGTGCCAACCAGTATGTTTGATGGACCGAGCAACCGAGCCGATACCGGGTGGGGTCCAGGGGGCGAAGCCCCCGGAAGCTAGTGGATTTTAGGGCTTTTTTAAGGCCCAGATATGGCAATTTTAACACCTTTTTGTTCCATAAAACATCAATCATAATTTCATATTGATGTGAAATAATTAGTACAATTCCTGGCAAAAATCCACACTGGAAGTTAATTTAAATGTAGTTATTTTGGTGCAATAATCACGGAAAATGTCAAAATGAAGTGAAAATCAATCAAACAAAATGGCTAGCTTACATATTGGGCTCAACTTATCGCTGTTACAGCTGAGTTTTTTTATTTTTAAAATATAATTTTTTAATTTTTTTTTTCTTTAGTTTTCAATTTTTAATATTTATTTATTTTTTATTAATTTTTTGGAACAGCCGCGCGCCACTCTGACTGAGCGCAAGCGCCACAAGTGGCGCGCGCGCCGCCAGTTGAGAAGGCCTGGTCTAATAGCATGAAAGCATTTCATTCCCGATCTTGTGATCAGTGAATGATATTAATCTCAGGGCTTCCTTGCTGAGTGGGTTCATTGTACATGGGACCACACCCATTATCAGGTCCAAACCGCACCCCATGAGGGTAGCAATGCCAGGTGTCTGCGGTCTCCATCATCCAAGAATGCAGCTGAGTGGTCATATTCTGCCTGACCTCCTGATGATCAGGGTCATCAGCCAGGTTAATCAGCTCATGGGGGTCGTTCTGCAGGTCGTAGAGTTCCCACTCGTCACGGTAGTAGTAGTCTTCCAGCGTCTTGAACCAGTTGGTGGGCTTCCCACTGACGGTGTTGTTGAGGATCTCCAGGAAGGTCGGGCAGGCATAGAGGTCGGTAGCCAAGGGGTACGGAGCCCGGTTGTTGAGGTTGTGGATGAGGCGGTAGCGACGGTTGCGCAGGACACGCATGGGGTAGTACATGGTGACCTCGTGGAAGTTGTGGCTGGCGTAGACATGGTCCCAGCCTGTGCCTGGCTCGCTCTCAGTGATAGGCACCATCGAGTGACCGGTTAATGCGGCACTGGGTTGCTTAATCGTCTCATCAGGAGTGGGAAACTCTTTGGTCTTGGGGATTGGCTTTGTGGTCTCGTCCTCCTCCTCACCAGGCATAGGTATACCAAACCAGTCCAATACTGTAGGTACAATATCCATTGTACTCGTCATGGCATCGCTCACCTGAGATTGAAAACATACAAACATCAAACATTTTACTGTCATTGTTTATAGGTTTGATCTTAATCTTGATCATGGAGGTGTCATGGTTATGGCATACAGTAGTTCATTCATTTAGCTTTCAATCAAAGAAGTTGAGGGTTGACGTTTATCCTAGGGATAAATCTGGATACCTGATACCACAAGGTAATTTTTATGGTCTCAATGTTCTCCTTAAAGCCCCTCAGCACTAGTTGGCCAGGAGGGATTAGACCTCCCTGCATGGGTTCTGACAGGTGGTTATCTCATCAAATCAGCTCTCAATTAACATAAGAGAGGATCATGGGGGACAAAAAGTCACCAATCAGGCATTGTTTTCTAAATAGAGGGAGCAAGTTGCAACAAGTAGTACAGTGGTGCTTTAAAACAAGTTTTCAGTGTAACCAAATTTCCACTTGAAGCACAAATGTAATTAATGTGCTTTCAAGCTATTCAAGCCATTAGAGCTGATACACAGGCTATTAAGTATTCCAAATTGCAATAATAAATTCATGCAGACCTACCTGTCCCCAGCGATGCTTGTCGAAGGGGTTAGAAATAAGCATAGGTTCCCCCATCCCTGGTTCAAACAGGTTGGTCTTAGCATTGGGGAATGGGATACCATTATCAGCTGTATAGACGATAAGGGTATCGTTGAGATGACCGACGCGCTCTAATTCAGCCAGCAACATGCTAATACCTGAAGAAAAAACAAAACAAGAAATTTTCATTGGATATTTGACATGAATGAATAGTGCATCGTTAAAAGTTCTATTACACTATTTGACTGCATTAAAGTAAACAGGAGAGTGATTTGGGAACAATTAATCAATATATCTAACCATCAAACATCAGTAGAGTGTGAAACATTTCCCTCTTAAGAAGTTGAAAATCACCATCCGGATATCAAGTAAAGCTCTTGGGGAATTGATTACTGCAAAACATGTCTAAATTTATATATTTTTTAAATCTAAAAAATGGTACCCTATGCTAAATTTTCAAAAGATGTTCAAGATTCTAAAGAAAAATGTGAAATCTTGCAGTGTTAGGAGGTGATCAAGAAGGGACCATCAACCGATCAAAATCTTGTTAGGGTCTTATAAAATTGTAAATGGATAGTCCCACCTATTCGATAACAATGAAGATAACTATAAAAGCAATAAATTGTTCCCAAATCACTCCCCTATTGCTTACTAGTATGTTTAAAATGAATTGGAAACCATTGATGTATGTAGGTATATAGGTATTAACTCAATGAGTACTCTTTCCATGTGATGTCAGTGGCAGAAGGGATGGAGGCAATATCCGTATTGACAAAATAAAAAAAAATACGGGTGCTAAAAGGTTCAACCACTTTATCATTATTGTTATCCATACATTATGTATCCACATAGTTAATAATTATTGCTTAAGTCTTTAATTTAGAGCAAAGAGGCTGAGATAGCTCAGGGACATGAAGTGGCATAAAAAGACGAGTCTAGAACGCAAAAGTGCATAATTGTTGAAAATCACAATTTTACCATACGGAGGTACAACAACATTGTTAGGATACAGAGATGGTAAATGCATATACCATCTCAATGTGGGTTAATGTTAGCTATATGCCTTCATTCAGATATTTCAAAATCAACAAACTTTTAATAAAAAAACATAACTTCTTATTATGCACTTTGCTTTTTGGAAGCGTCTTTTCGTGCCCCTGCATTCCGCTAAGCTACATGTCTAAAAAGAGCTGTACCTGCATCCAGTCTGCTGAGTGATGTATACTGCTTGGTGATGTCGATTCTCGTTGTCAAGGTATCAGGCAGAAAGTACGGGACCTCCACATCTTTGGGGTCATAATAGACTGGCTTCCAGTCATCAATGATCCCCATACCCTTCTCGCCATTGCCAAATTTCTCACAGAACTCGCCGTACTGGCCCCCGCATCGATGGGCATCATTGAAACCCATGTAAAGCATGAAAGGGCTGAAAGTTGATCGTTAAAATAGATGAATATATCAATTAATTAATTTGATTATTAAAGATCTTGTGTCACTTTTGTGATTGTTAAAACAATATCAATTTTCATGGGGAGAAACTTTGGTATATGGCAAAAAAATTCAGATTTTCGATAATGCAATGTATCTTGTGGCATGAAATTTGGAAGAAAATGTTTGGCACCTTCTAGTTTACAGTGCATCTGAAATTCTGAATGACAGTTGGGCAATTCCGTGGAAAATGTTCGCAACCCAAAAATCATTACAATTTGCAATAACTCCAGAAATATGTGAGCCACTGTGATAAATTTGGTATCAAACAAAAGAGCTCAACAAGCTTTTCACTTTCAGTGGTTTATTTATAGCAGGAGTGATGAACATTTCTTCACAATTTTCTTAAAACCACCCATTTTTAGGGCAAATATATTTTACACCTCAATCACTTGTAGGACACAAAACTGTCAGCACACATATAGTTTGATGGGTTTTTAAGCTATTATGTATGCTACTATATTAAACTTACGTTGTGTTGTTCTGCTGCGCAAAGAACTCTCTGACATATAGTTTCATCTGGGTGATGTTCCTTGCACACTGTAGCATGTTGAGGGTGTCACTATCCCTTTCAAAGTCAAACTTGTAGACATACTTTGGTCCAACATGCTTCTTGCCGATCATACCTGCAAAAGTTGGGAAAGCAATAGAGAGGATTTACTTGATTTACTTAGCAGATGTTATGCCCTTCCATGGCCATGCCAAGGGCAGAAAATCCCATCTAATAATGACATTGTTTAACATACAGCAGTGCAGAGTCTAACTTTAGTGAAGTTTTTGATCCAGAATGCTAGGAATTACACATTACACACAAGCAGAGCTAAAGAGCTGAAATCACAGAAAATTTCAAGTCTATTTCCAATACATTCCAGTATATTGTGTGGTTCTCGAATGAGAATGCTGTAATTGTAAATAATCTTTAAAGTCTCTAAATTGGCAAAATGGTGGAAAATATGAATCAATATTTTCATGTACAAATATGCATTTTTTTCCAAATAAATTTTGCAATTCACTTTCACATTGATTAATTCAATGAATATTTGTTTTCTTCTTTAAAGTATGAGGATTGTTGCTTATTTGAGGAGGGTAAGCTGATTAATTCAGGAAAAAAACCTCTAAACTGCTTTGGGTTTAATAAACAAAGTTTAAAACTCTCAAGCTACTGAATGTCAAGTCAACTGAAGTCAAGTCAAAGAAGGACTAGACCACTACACCTCCGCAAGGGATACAAGAAAGACTGCTGCTAAAATGTCTGTTAACAATAATTTCTAATTCAGATGCCAACTCAGGGACTAACCTGTATGGATGCCATATGGCTTTAGGAGGAGGGGCAGACTCTTCACCGTATCAAACGACATGAAGTGATTCTCCTGGTGGTGCAGTCCGTACATCCCGTTCTGGTGCTGCGGCATACCCGTCAGGATCACAGAACGACTCGGTGAGCAACTGCTGACCGAGGTGTATGCATTACGCACAGTCACGCTCTGCTGAGCAAGCCGCGCCAAATTGGGCATTTTGCAGGCAGTGTGGTTGTAGACGGATGTTTCAAACCCAACATCGTCAGCTATGCAGTGGATTTTGTGAAGAAATGGGAGAGAGAGAGAAGCATGAAAACAAAATGAAACATTAAAGAATGTAAAAGAGGAAGATAATTATGAGTGATTTATGCTCAATAGGTTGTGTGTTGCCTTTGAAGTGTTCTCTGAGATTATTCCCTCTCTCCAAATTGTTATACAAAGCTAAGAAATAATTCTAATCAACTACCAAAAATAGCAGAAAATATCATTAAAGGTTAAGACTGATAGTGGTAAAATTGGGGTTCAAGGGTTTTGGGTGCAAAATATCCATTCAATATTGTTTACATATTGCCTTCAGGTTTAGATGGCAAAACTTCATCCATGGCAAAAACTGTGCATGTCATTACGAACTCGTAGCTCGTGCACAGTTTTTCTGTTATAATCATTTTGCCTTCGGTGTAGACTAGAAGGAATGAGATTTAGATGACGTCATACGCAACCCAGCTGCAAGATTTTCTTCATGGATGTCGATCTTGACCCATAATTTCCTGAAAAGGGACCATTAAACGGATTCAAATAGTCAAGTTGGTAAGTGGAACCGAAGTAGTTAAGCATTAATTTAGCTAATTTAGGACTTTAAATGCATCGGTAAAATATCAAAATTAGGGATTAAGTTTGGCCAAGTTTTGTGTAACGTTTCTTTACACAAACGCGCGTCCACTACAGCGTAAAGGGCTGTTCTGTCTCTAAAGAGAGAGCCGACCTTACCCAAATCAGAGGCTAACGAACGAAAGAGACAGAAAAATTCGGTCTACAGCAACACATAATAAGGTAGGCAAATCGCCATCTCTGCAGTAACAAGTTGCCATTTTAAAAAAAATTCTAGACCGATTTCAAACTAGGCAAAGTGCTTTGTACAAGCAGAAGAATTAAGAACTTCTTTGAAGAAGAATCATGCAGTGAATTTTGAAGGCAGTTTGCAATGTTCCTTGTGTGCGGGAATGGGTGATTAGTGATTACACACACAATCCATTTGAGGTTTTGTTTATCTAATACAAGTTTACCAGGGTTACAACTTACTTAGTTAAATAAAAAAGCTCTCTAATTTAAACAGCCACAGCTCAATCAAATGAAATGGATGTCAACTAACTCGGAACTAAGTAATGCAGGCTTGGACTTGGTGATTATGGGTATAAATTATCAATCATCAAATTTCAAGCACCAAAACAAAGAAAAACACCAAACATTTACCAAACATAAAGCCTGAAGGGAAGTATCAAGTAGACATAAATAACTGTCTGGAATGGGGTAGACTCTAGATCTATTCTTCAATAAAACTGACACTTGTCAACCTTCCTCAAGAGCTGAGCGCGGCGGTCCGTGGAGCTGGAGCCAGTACGGTAGTTGCAGCGGAACAACCGTCGCGATAGCCCCCTATCTCAGGCGTACACGAACTCCGCCTCCAGCTCCAGTCACCAGCGCAGTGCGAAACTGAAAAGTGAAAGTCAAATTTAATCTCATCTAATTCAACTTACCTATTATAAGGAGAACATTTCGCTTGTCATGAGGTGGTTGGGCTGAAACCAGAGGTAGGAGAATACACACCAACAAAACAAAAACAGCCATTTTGGCTGTGTCTTGATTCAGGTTGAAATGTCCTTTTCTACAGCAATAACTGTAAGTGTGAAAAGTGTTATCACACATCACGTGATATGAGGGGCGGATCCAGGGGCGGGGAAATGGTTACCAGGGGTCCGACCCCCCCCCCCCACCCTTTCTGTCGTTTTTTCTTTTTCAGAGGCAATAATTTCAAATTGATTAAATAATAGAATTATCTGGTATAATAAATTCACCTGGGGGTAATTCCTCCCCCTCCCTCACCCCGCACAAATAGGCCTATGCATAACATTATATATAAAAGAGTAATATTACTGCATTATTTAGAGGTGCCTATATAATTTACTGATAAGCCAACATTATAACCCTTTTGCGAGTGTTATCATTGAATCAATATGTGCAATCTTTTGTATTTACATTGCTTTCTTCTCGTTTTTTCTTTCTATTGTAAGGTTTCTTTTTTTGTGCGAGTCTTTGTTTTGTTCTGTTTTATTCTTTCCTGTTGTTTTTGTTTTTATTGTATTTTTGTATTTTGGATCTGCAGTGATCCCTAGCCTTTAATCAAAGCGGCTTTGCAGCTCTGTCAATCCAATGGTTGATCCTTGAGAAGAAAGATATCAAAATTTAGTACCTACAAGAATGATAAATTAAGTGAATTGATACAAAACAAATCAAAGACACATGAAAGTCGCACATCAATACAAACTGAAAATTGAATGAGAAACGAAAACAGCTATCGAGTGTGATATATTCAAAGAATTTAATCATTTATCACAAATAAAACAATACATTGTACAGTTATATACAGTATCATGAGTAAAATTTTGGATTCTTTCAAACTTAAGTATGCAAATTACATAATGATGCTTGGGGGTGTGGGGGTATCGAGGACATTCATACAAACTGTACCTTCACTTTCAAGTTGACAACCACTCACAGGAGAAACCTATACATTATTTATAATTCAAGGCCTCTTTCAAATAGGGGTACTGTATTTAGTTGCTCTATTTGCACAGAAAAAGAGCAGGTCTTTGGTTATGACGTAAATGTCCAGATCGCCCTCGGGACGTCATATTCCCACAAACATGTGTGTCCTCGAACATGTCATAATATTCTGATCTTTACGATTTATCGCCGTTTTGTCTACAGCCAATTAGTCTCCTACCCAATTGGTCTATTCCCATATGGTCTCATACAGCAAGGGACAGACGAGGCACCCAAAGTCTAAGTCCAGACCCCAAAATATAAAACAAATATCAATTTGCAACATTAAAGAGCAAATATCTGTTTAGAGCCAGTACGGCATTAGCTCTGTGTAAAATGATGAGTTAACACCCTTCTGGCTGCAAATAAACTACCTATACAGTGGAACCTCAGTATAAGGAGCTCTGATTTAACCAGGTATCTGTTATAACAAGATGATTTTGCTGGTCCCAGCTCTTTATATTCTTTTGATTTTTTTACCCTGATATAACAAAGTAATTTCCTTGGTCCCAAGGACGTCGTTATAACGAGTTTCCACTGTATATCAATTAAAATTGCCTCACCTTCTTATACATATCAGTCAATTTTGTCATACAAATGTATTACAAACTTACATCAACTTTTCTTGACTAAGGCAAAAATGGATGAAAATGATGGAAATTTCATCAAATGCAATATAGTGTTTTACAATAATGATTTTAACACAAAAGATACATCTACGCAAAATTGCAAATCTCCATGATCAAATTTCGCAAGTCTTTGAACCTTCCCCTACATGATGGATGTGTATTTCTTAGCCTTTGCCTTTCCTCTTGTAAGAAATATAATGCAATTTTGCTGATTCAATACGGTGGATTGCAATCCACAGCGCCATGTAGCAACACCAGTGTTTTGTTGATTTCATGTGAGGCATCATGGGAAAAAGTCGATACAAACATCAGCTGTGACAACGTTAGGAGATGGGGGTATTTATCAGAAATTGTGGTGGGTTTTGTTCAAATAGCTTATCCGGGGTAAAAGTTTTGCACTTTGCACTGATTCCCAAAATATCAGTATTATTGACCCTGCTCACACAACATTTTAGTCATTTTTGCCCAAACTGACCAATATAGTCACTTTTAGACATGGCTAGTTTTTGCAGATTGTTATTATCAGAAAAGGAGATATTTGATGGGCCTATTCTGTGTACAAATGTGCCCTGATGCATGAAGTACAGTCAAACCTGCTTTAGTGACCATCTGTCTACAAAGACCACATTTTTTGTTTCCCTTGAAAATGGTTTAACATTGAAACACGTAATAAAGAAGCCTGTCTTCAAAGACGCCATGTCTACAAAGACCACTTTTTTGTGTTTACCTTGGGCGGTCGTTAAAGACAAGTTTGACTGTATAACAATAAACATAATGTATACATTTATGCAAATCAATTATCACCAACTCCCTTACATCTTTGTCTCTTTGAGATAGACTTGGGTTTCCTGTTTCACATATTGAAGTTTAATCGGTCAGTTTTGTCCATTGCAGTATTAAGATACATATCATTAACACAGTGTGTGCATCCATGCCAAGTAATTATCATCAACTTTCAAGCATCTTTGTTCCCTCCCCTTTATGATGCACCTTCGCTTCCTGGAAATCCCCTGTTTGGGTGAATACGATGAAGAAGAAACTTTGCCAATTCTATTCAGTGTATTATGCTTCTATGCAAATTAATCATCCTCAACTTCTAATCGTTTTGGTTCCCTCCCCCAAACGAAGCACTTTTGTTTCTTGGCCATCGCCTCTCTTGTTGAATAGGATGAAGAAGCCATTATGCCAATTCAATTCAGTATAAGTATATATAGTATTAACACAATATAGGCATCTATGCAAATTAATTATCATCAACTCCCCAGCATCTTTGTTCCCTCCCCTATATGATGGACCTGTGTCTCCTGGCCATCGCCTTTCTTGTCGAATAGATTGAAGATGACGGTGAGCCTGGCTAGGTGAGGGTTCTCATCCTGTAGTCTATTGATCCATTCATTTAACATCCCTCGGTCGCCATCGCTGGCCATACACATGGCGTAGACATTGCCTTCTGTGGGGGCTGGGGGAAGTTGACCTAACGGAGAGGAAGGCAGTAGAAGAAAATTTCTAGCTTAGATTCATTTTAGATAATCGCATTACACTTTGAAAGAAAACCTTAACATGGTATGTTTGATTTTTAAAAAATAAAACAATTTAGGATCATCTACCTAATAAATTTCTGTAACTTTTTTGAATGATCCAACCACTTTGTAATTTCCTTAAGTGTATTTTCCATTGAATTGGCTTATCTATGTTTGCAAGAAATATTTTATTGTATTGTTTGACTTTGTATGTTAATTCAATTCAATTCAATATTTCCATCTTGTTTGCATTCTATCCTCTACAAGACAATAAAAAAGCATGGGAAGAGGAAAGAAGGTGTACAAAATAACAAAATCCTTAATCAATGCTTATTTATTAACATGTGTCAATATATGAAAAGCCCTCTTTCTTGATATATAAGAACAGGATATGGAGATTTAGAGTATAAATATTTACTAGCAACTGTTGTACTTGTCAAAGCTATGGTTGTTGATTCAATCACTGGCATTGCACCCATGTCTTTATGCAAGGCATCTTCATGGCTTCTCTCTGTACAGGTATATAAGTGCGTATCTGGTAGGGTGCATACGTTACATACACTTGTATAGCATTTGCCCATCTGTGAAACGCGACTGGCAAGAAGGCTGCGCAAGGTAGTAGGGGGTGAGCACTGTATGTGCAGAATAGCAATTGAATCTAATGATAGGGGTAACATAATTGTAATAATAATAGCTCACATTTATATTGCGCCTAATACTTTGTTTCTAGGCGGAGCACATATTATATCCCCGGTCATTGGATACAGGCTTACCCGCAACACAATTAATGCACATTTTCCACTCCCTGGGGAGCATTCCAAACATAAGGTGGAAGTGCTTTACTAATGTAATTACAATTTATTTTGTTCATACCTCTTTCATACATAAGGGGCTCCTGTAACTCCAATGGGTCTGTTCTCAATACATAGTAAGACTGAACGGTTGTCTTGAGCCACAGAGTGTACGGTCCTTCCACATAGAGCGGTCTGAAGATCTGGTGCTGGGACAGGTCCTCCTTCTGCTCTGGACTCTGCACACTGGCAATGTAGTCCCGGCCTTGAAGGTCTGAATAGTCCTGGTCTTGGACCATTACTGATGTCTCACTGGACCTGTTGACCTAAAATGAATGAATGAACAATAAATCACTTTTAGGAAACTATTTTGAAAGTCTTCTCATGTGATTGGCTTGGGCATAAATTTGTTCTAAAATGGAAAATTATAATCATTTGAGGAGAGCGACTATTGGGTCTAAATAAATACCTTTATTCATCACTCATAGCATACTCGCATTGCATACAAAATGCAGTTTACAATATTCCATAATTATCAACATGATTTCATTATTTTGAGAAAAGTTTTCAGTGTCTATTTACAATTTAACCTGCTTAAGCGCCACCTGACTTTAAATACCATTTTTTTTGGTTTTATTTAAAAATTGGTCCTTACTAAAAAACGATGTAATAAAGGATACGTTCATAAAGACCACCTGCCAATGAAGACCATGTTTTTTGTCTCCCTTGAGCGGAATTTTCAAACAGGTTTCACTGTAAAGGGTGATCTAGCTTATGTTAATAGTGCCAGATTTCAAAGAGGACTTTGAATACCTTCCAAACAAATGAACTCCATGAGGATGGTACAACTGGGCCTTGCCCCTATTGTTTGACACCAATTTATTTACATTATAGTACACAAGTACAAAAAGTGCTCTCCACCCCCCCCCCCCCCCCCCCCTCTTTATGTGATTCCATTATTTTTTTTAATGTAATAACCCCTTTTTTTTTCTCTTTTTTTCTTCTCACAATCTCACTTGTCAGCAAAGTTTAGCAATATTATGCTCCCTCTTTTGCAAAATCCTGGATACGCCCCTGTGAGAGGGGCGAGGATAAACTCTTGTCACTTACACTATAAACAGTGAACTCTGCTTCATATTCTGATATTCTCTTGAGTCCAATCTCGCTGAGTTTGATGGGGTCGCTTGGCATTTCCTTGGGTAGAGGGAAAGGATTGATGTTGCGAAACTTGGGGAACCAGTACATCAGACGCTGGTACTTCTTGATCGGATGGGCATTCCGACCAAAGATTGCGAGTAGGATTTCCTTGGTATTATTGTTTGGTAAGACAGCTTTTCATTGGAAACAAAAGTGGAAACAATTTAAATCATTTTTTTTTTAGAAAATGGGAAATGATGATGGTGATTTATGGACGAGAAAGATCGTAACCTTGTTACAGGAAACAAGAGGAAGAATCAATTACATGGTTAAGAAAAAGAATGACAAGGTTTTTACTGACAAAAACCAAGAACATGTTCCTAAGAAATGTGCAAGATTGTGTTTGGAACCAAATTCTTATATTCACATATATAGTAAAATGGGAATGGGAAGTCTAACCCTATAGTTTTCTTATTCATTTGAAAAATAAGATATTGCTCAGAATAATACTACATTGTTTGAAAAATTGCAAATATACCTGGTATATAATTTTTTTCCTCAAGCAACAGGCTAATTACCTACTGGGCAACTCACTTTAACCAGTCGTTGGGGAACAAATGCCTTAACACATTAATTGATAGCGAAAGGCAAACCAAAGCAAACTTAGCTTAGTCATATTGAGAGAAGCATAACGGTACAGCACCATAGCAAAATGCAGAGACATATCCTAGGGATAGTTAGATCCCTGAAACACTTTGCCTTGAAATATTGAAGGGGCAATGCACATTGGTATCTTGGAGGTAACTCGAGACTCATCAGACTTACCATTGTCTTCCATCTGCTGTAGAACCTTGATGCCACACACCTGCTGCTCGGGGAAGTGATTGAACATGGACTGGTAAGCATTCTTAGCAACGTACTTCCCTTTGGGGAAGACATCAAGCAACATGTTATACGCTTCCACATCCTTCTCCACACCAAAGGCCTTCATGTACCTCAGGGCGGTCTCGATGAACTGCACGTGGCCCCTGCGCCTCTTGTCCATCTCTGTGAAGGTCGTGACGACCTCCTTGAAAGCACCTTTATTTGGTGAATCGTGCGTGGCCTCCTCAAAGAGAGTCTTGGAGAGGACCATGGAGTTCCTCTCTACTCTGGAGATGCCTGATCCTGCAGGGATGTCCGAATCTCTCAGGCATCTGGCACAGGTATGAAATGATGGCGTAGCCTGAAGTTTCAAAAAAATAAATAGAAATCTTAGGGATCATTAATAGTTTCTGTCGGATTATGCAGGTTGGTCCGCAAATTACGAAATAATCATACTACATTTGCAGCTTGGAAGGAGTATGAACATAGTTTCAAAATGAAACAGTTTTTTTTACCTGTGAGACTTTCGCCTACTCCTTGCTGCAGGCATCATCATTATTGCCACTAGATGGGGTAGTATGACAGTATGAACTGATGTGCACGAAGCACAATGTCCTTTGCTGCTGGGCTTTAGGGCCCTTATTGTGAACCCTATATGCTCTGCTGTCTGGTGCAGTAATATTTTGAAGCAAATTTCAAACAAGTTCTATTACCCTTTTCTAACTGGCCTGATTTTCATCGGATGCATCCAGACGCATCCGATGAAACAGCCAGTATGAAAGCAACAGAGGAGAAAAAAGCGATTAAATAGCCGATGAAAAGAAAAGAAATAGGCAATTAAATTCTCCTGCTCAAGAGCAGGAGAAATTCTCATTCTATCGGTGTAACACCGATGAAACAGCCACTGTGAAAGCGTTCGGGAGAAAAAGGCGATTAAAATGGTCAAAGGTCGCAGTGTACGCGCGCTTTATCGTAACCAGCTGTGTTTGTTGACTTATGGTTGAACATGCTGCATGCTAGCTAGATGGAGCGTGGGCTTAATAATAATAATAACCGGCAGTATGAAAGCGACATGGGGAAAACTGCCGTTTCACCTTTGTTTACATAAGGGAAATTCAATCAGTATTTTCATCTGTGTGACTCCGATAGAAGCCAGTTTGAAAGCAGTATGAGACTTATATTTCAGAATAAATTTTGGTGAATAATTACTTTTAACATCTTTAATTTCAATTTCCTTGTTTTTCTAAACTTTCATGACCTTTCTGTTCCCCTTGAGGTAAAACAATTGTAATAATGTTGTTTTGTTTCAGATTTTCAATTTCAGGTACTTTTTGCTTTTTAAAAAAATTAATATGATGAAATAGGCTTTTCAATTGGAGGGTCTTACCTGATAATGTTTAGGGAAATGTCTTTGCACAAACTGTAGAGGGAGGTTTCTTGTAGAAGATATTGTCCCAAGTTTCATGCAAGTTCGCATCATGTGGCGTCCGAGAGAGGCCATGGCTTAAGTCTTTGGTCGAATCCCTCACTGATATCTGTGGTATCTGTATGCAAATTGAAAACAAATAAAATCTCATGTGTGAAGGGAAATTGTTTACAGTGTTGTCTAAAGGTAGCCATATGCCAAAAATGACCAGCCAGCACGCATAAACGACCACATGTTTTGAGGTCCGGGGGGGGGGGGGGGGGGGGGGGGGTACTCATATTAGGACATAAAATGGTGTGCCGCTCTAATGGGTCACTTTTTCACAAAAAATCCCTACACATTTTAAAGGTACTAGAGTCTATGTCCCATTTGCAGTCCCAAAAAATGAAAAAAATTAAATTCCAATGACATTTGAAAGATATAATACTAATTTAGAACTTCCCTACATTAAGGGGGGCTTGAAAATGTCCTTTCAGTGAGAAAATAACGACTATTAGTTGTGGAATCGACTTAGGAGCTATAGAGCCAGTAAGTAATAGTCTGATTTTCAGACATTGTACCGAATGGTTGTACGTTTTATGCTGTGCAAAGATTAAATCAGTTTAATTTTGGCCATTACAAGAAGTGGGTTATTGATGTAGACAAATGCTCATGTACCTAGCTTTACAGCTCATTTTATGTATGTTATTACCAAAGAAGAAAAAATGCCAGTCAGTCACTCAATGTCTGTCAGTGAAGTCTAGCAAGTACACGGCCAGAGGATAAGGAGTAGACCTGGCTATGGTCAGTATGGAAAATAAAGTGAAAATGGCTGATTTTGCGTTGCCAATTATTTGATACAAAATTAGCAATTAGAGTAAGACCGCCAAACTTCGGACACTTAACCCTAATAGGGCCGGGCTATTTGAAGTCTTAGTAGGGCCGGGGGGGGGGGGGGCCATTATGGCCCCCCTTAAGATCTCGGCCGCAAAGCGGCCGATCGCCGCGAAAATTTGCACACATGTCAAGTGAAGTGTAAAGAATAATATGATAATTTCAATTTTTTGAAAATTCAATCATTTGCATATTTATGGTAATTTATGCAAATAAAGTCATAAAAATCACATTTTTACCCATAAATCATATATTATTCATATTTAAGCATTCTTTTTCACTAGATATATTCATTAGACCATTCTGAATAATAATATGACAAAAAATTTGGAAGAGCCAGCTTATTTCTTATGTTATCCCTTGTTTTGATAATTTCTTATGTATTTCATTGTTTTTTTAACTTATGTATTTCATTGTTTTTGTTGTTTTATTTCATCTTTTACTACAATTCAACTATTTTGACTCCCAAAACAACCTCCTAAACTTTAAACAAGACCCAATAACCCATGTTTGATCTATTTTTAGGAAAAATGACTTTGCCATACGTTTTGTACACAAATCACGAAAATGAGCGGTTTTTAGGCTGACATGCAAAGACAAAAGGTCATGTGACCTTGTAACCGTAGGTCCGATTTTCAAGAAAATTATTTTAAAAGTTGCGCAAGACTCGAAAGAAAAAAGTCAGCGAGCGGCGGGGCGCCATCCATATGCGTTCCCGAGCAATCAGAAAAATTGTGGAGGGGGGGGGGCCATAATGGCCCCCCCCGGCCTTATTAGGGTTAAGACAAAACGGGGGGAAAACATTTTATTCTTTTTTAATTCTTTTTTAATTATTGAAAGATCAAATATACTATTATTTGTGCAAATACTGTTTATGTATAATATATCATGTAAAAGAAAATTAGTAAAGGAAATGGAAAACTAGAATTATTTACATACCCGCCGAACCTGTTTTCATGCCAAGCTTCGGACGTTCATGTGTAGCGCACGTATAGCGCACGTGTAGCGCGCGCGCTAAAGTGCGCATTCATCGGAGGACGGGGGTAAGTTTGACTCCGTTGATTTCATGAAAAAAATATTATTTTCTCGTTTTGGGTAGATTTAAAGGTATTACAAAGTTTTGGGAAATTTTGAAAAATGGGTGGATAGTGATTCTTTACAATTTTTATATATTTGGATGCCCCTGTGGATGTATTAAAACCACCAGAAATTTTAGCCCCTAAAACACTTTTGCTTTCGAGAAAAATTGAATACAAAAGATTTACCGGTGCTCCGGGTAAATTTTGATAAATTTCAAATAGCTCCTACTGCCGTACAATGGTAGCTGCGACCATGAAAATCTCACAGTATGTAGTTGTGGTATATAATTTCCGAACGACAATAGCTAATCGGTCGATTTTAGTCAATAAGCATTGTTTTATAGCTTAATTAATATCTTGACCCTGAGAGGGAGCTATTCAACATAAAATGTTTATTATTTACAATTTCATAACTTTAGAGTCGATTTCGACCGCTACAACGATCACTGAATATTGTAGGATCGTATATGCTTCCAACGTATTCATTTTAACCAAATTCATGACCCCATACCAAAACTTTGTATTACCTTTAAGTTAGGTAGAACTATCAGAAAGGTGTTTTTCACAACACTCGTACAATATTTTGGTGCTAAAATCTTACGAAAGCGCTATTTTTTCGTAGTCAAAATGACACTCAATGTTGCCTGTCCGAAGCTTGGAAGAGCGCCATCTTCTGGTAGGGGAATCTATCTAGTAGTACCCCTAGATCCGTGGTAACGGCCGCCATTAGAAAATTTTCGCGATAGAGTGAAAAAGTATCTCATAAGCTCCCATAATTTTGGCAGAAACCACCTGAAATATGCCAAGGATTTGTTTGTAATCGATATATTGGAGGCCCTACACCTTAACTCCCCTGTTAAGGAACTGTAAAAATCTAGGTAACCTGAAATCTGTCTCTGAATTCGATGTTTTTTGTGAGTTTTGCAGAAGGCAACCTGCCATAACTTTTTGTACTAATGATATAGGTTAGTAGAAGTATCAAATGCATGCAAGTTACCCGCCTGAGCTAGGCTCATATTTTGCGTTCGAGCCGTTGAAGTAATTTTTGTCCGAAGCTTGGCAACGTCCAAAGTTTGGCGGTTTTACTCTAGATCTAGGTCCAACTATTTCATCTAGTGTAAAAAAAAAAAGGCGCCCGGCTAGAGCTAGAGTGTATGTCACTGACCGTTGCTGAAATCTGTGACACTCCAATCCTGATCCAAAAATACACGTTGCACGGTGTAGACTAGACTCTACACACAAAAACAAATTGTTTTTGAGTTGCAAATTTGATGCTTCTTATTCTTCAGCCTTTTCACACACAGCTAAAATTCATCGTATCTAGAGATGATTAGAATCACTCAACAGTTTTAAACATGTTTATAGACAAAATTTGCCAGTGTGAACATCGTTTATACGATGTTGGGATAGATACAAAGTCGCGATCCATACGCCCCTAAAAGCAGGCTGCAGATACGAAGTTCGTATCTAGAGAGCTTGACATTTTGTGTGTGAAAGGAAATTCGTGTTTAAACGTGTTTAAGCTGGATGGAGCTGGAGCGTGCGCTTTGATTGATATGACGTGACCTTCAAATCAATGCGCAATGGCACTAGAGTAAAGGAGCCCGTTTTCGGCCACTTAAGACAAAATCCTATTTTTAGGACTCTTTACTTCCTATTTATTATCATTTCTTGTTCAAATCATGAAGCAAATATTATTATTATTTAAACAAAAAAAGAATCCCAGAAAAAAATCACGAATTGCCATGACAATATTCATTTCAATTTTCACTGTTTTGGAGCCCGTTATCGGCCGAGCGTTTCAGTTTACGGCCGCATGTACAAAGTCAATAGGAAGCGCTCGCGCGCGCCGTGCGTTTCCGCGCTGATGTACAGCACAAGCGGGCGGAGCAGGTATCCCACGCCGGAGCTCCCTGGTGCTCGCCTGGCCGAAGACGGGCACAGCGGTGATCGGAAGTTGGAATCTGAATTAGACAGAGATATCGTGTGTGCGTCGCGGTGTGCGGCTGCATTGATTTAATACATGCGATGAGATACTTTTGAGCTTGCGACCAGCACAAAATCGGGCTTTGAATCTGAAAAATACTTGAAATAAAGCTCATTTTATGGTACCCATATTTCTTACAGACACGCGTAAGATACTCGATTTTTCAGATTTGGGTAGCGGGACCGGCGATTACATCGCTAAAATGTGATATTTTAGGATATATTTTCCATTGCAAATGTGGTTCTTCAGTGACACTGGCATGGTATGGTATGTGTGGGATATGTGTTATGCTATTATGCGATGTATTTTAGAGTGATTTTACCTTGCATCCAACCAATCGGCCGAAAACGGGAGCTGGCCGATTACGGGCTCCTTTAGGCTTTACTCTACTGCGCATTTTACGAGCAGTAGTTAATCACGAAACTATTAACGATCGCAACGAAATTTCTGTGTGTGAAAGGCTCGTGATTAGTTTAAACACGTTCGAAACAAGTTTATACTATCATGTTTATAGAATTTTAGCTGTGTGTGAAAAGGCTGCTTGTTGCTACACACTAACTTAGGCCTACCCAATACTAAGTGAATGGGACTGTACTGAAGAATTCCGGTTCTCTGCTGAACAAACATGAATTTGTTTGATTAAAATGACAATAAATTATAACAATAATAAGTAAGATTAGTTTACCCTAGCCCTTGGCGTGACGCCCACCGTTCTGCTACTTCATTTGCACGGTTCCGTAGACCACCATCCGCATATCGGGCACCCTCTTTCTTTCTCCTCCTGGCCTGTCGCGTGCTTGCGTTTAATGTTAGACACGGATTCCCAGTATCCGAAATAACAGGCTGATTTCACATCCCTGATTTCATAGTGCTTGTACTTGTCACAGCACAGCTCTGCAGCGCCCGAGTGGGTGCATGGTTTGTTAGGGAAGTAATTCCAGGGATCCCTGGTAATTCCTCCTTTTTCTTGTGATTGTTAAATAGTTATACTATTTTATAGGGGAAGCAGTACCCCTTTTTTGTAGGAACATGCACTTTCCCTTTTTCTTCAATAGACATTCCCATAAATGCCCTAGCTGTTCACCTCTGATAATAATAATCACCCCTAGACTAGGACCTATTATATTTTGAAAGGTACGTGCCCCTTTTCCTTCAAAAATCGCCCCCTTTCACTTATGATAAGTGCTCCCTTCACCTCGATCTTATTATTGCCCCTATTCAAATATTGAGGCGCCCGTTTTACAGGTTCCCCTTTTCCTTTGTAATTAAGTGCCCTTCGAAAGAGTGCTCTCTCAGTTTTCACTTCTGACAGTGCCCTTTTTTTATTTGGCACGTGCCTCCTTTCACTCCAGCAAAGCACAGACAGAGAGTCAATGGCTCAATGCTAATGCATACGTGATGTGCATGAGGCAGGTATTATTCAGGGCTGTCAACTTTGGGGAACTGCTTGGAGGGAGATTTTTTTTGTGGAGATATTATTAAGTGCCAAATCCAGCCAGCCGCTGAATTTATAGTAAGCGAAAATTTTTGCAACGACTCAGCCAGCCACTGAAAAAGCCGGGGGGGGGGGGAGGGGGGTAAGAGCACTTTTTTGTTTTGTTTGGCGGGAGGTTTTTTCATAAACCGGGAGATTCTACATAATTGGCGGGAGAGCGGGAGGAAGGCGTGGTGGCGGGAGTCTCCCGTCACGAGCTTTTGGGGCGGCGGGAGAATGAGCGTGGTGGCGTGAGACTCCCTCCAAATGCGGGAGGGTCGGGGGAAGTTGACAGCCCTGAATTTGTTAGACCTATACACAAATACATATTGCATAGACTGCATACAATCATGCCGATGCGGCTGTAAGCAAAGTTTGGCAGTAGACTTACAATTTGAATTTTTAAATTATATTCTTTTTAACATCAGTAAATTGAAAAAAAAAATGTATTTTACTGCTATTTAGGTGTCATCAATTGATTTTGAGTGAAATTGAGTTTTGTACAGTGGTGTTTGAAATGTTGAGCTTTTACTACACAGCCAGGATAGTGATGCTCCTATGTGTGCTTCCTTTCCCGTTCTCATATACTAGTGCCCCTTTTCCGTGCGAGACGTGCCCCATTTTGATCTAAAAATTGGCCTTTTTACCTTGGCACATGCTCCTTATCTTTCTAATATCCATCCCTTTCCCTTTATGATAAGTGCCCCCTTTCCTTGCTCCATAACATGTGCTCCTAATGTAATGCGACCAAGAGCAACTGTTATGTAATTTATCCCAAAGCTCCTCGTTATACGATCACTCACATTTATTGTTGATAATCAAAGGTCTTTTGAGCCTTTCATGATTAGATTGTGCTTAAAACCCGAATAGAATAGTTTTTTACCCTTTATTAGATGAAATATTTTTGCACTGTGTCCTCACAAATCTGATCAAACCATCGCATCCAACTGCAAAGTATGATCCTTGGACCATGTAAAGAAAGAAACAAATACTGAAATCATCCTGATAATGTAATCTCACTTTTTAGGGATATACCAATGTTTAAAAGTGTATGTATTCTCTTTGACATTTCCCTTTGTAGGCCGGTGCTGCCCCCCCCCCCCCACCCCCAAGAAAGGGCCATCTTTTGTAGGTGCCACAAAAAAATATCAGTAATTTTGATTTTCTTTTTTCCAAGTGCTTCTCCTTTGGGGCATTACTCAAAATGCAGCTTATTATAGGTCCTCCAAATAAAAATAAAAACCCTCCCGAGTTATCCTTTTTAGTCATTTTGTGGGTTTGAATGAAATATTAATGAGAAAGTTTTCCAGTACTACGTCAGTGACATTACCAATTCAGCCGATTTGAGTACCCATGTCCTTTCCTTCTCTCTCTCTCTCTCTCTCCCTATATCACTTTCTCTCTCTCATCCCACATCTCCAATTCTCTTCCTTCATTCCATTTTACAATCCTTCCTAGCTGTGCTTCATTTCTTTCCTCCACTAGATCTCGCTTCAACATGATCATTTCACCACAAAAAATTATGTTCTACATATATGCTTATAGGTCAAATTTTGCCACTTTAAAAACAAACATTATTTTAATATGCGAGTGGTGTTTGTTTTGCCTAATTTAGTTTTGTTCTTATTTGATGAGGTATATGACTTTTTGTAGTGTGCATAATTTGAGAATTACACCTTACAAGCTTTTAGCAAACTTTTAGTTTGTAGTTTCCATATTCTTTGATCACGAATTCGTACACAATCTTTATTGTACACTGCATATAACATTGTCATTGTTTTTGGTATTGAGAACAATAATAAATTGAACCATGAACCATATCTTTAATTTCCAACACTTTCGTTGGTAGATCTTGTTACATCTCTTTCAAATGAGAGAAGAGCAGAGAGGCAAGGGCTTAAAAGCTTTCTTACAAAAATAAATAAAGTGAATAAGGTATGTCATCAGATGGGTTGCAATATATATATATATATATATATATATATATATTTACTGTAAATCTTTCAATCTTGTTCAGATTTGATGCGGTCAACTGCCACCAATTTTTCTTTTTAAATGCCCACAACAAAGGTCCTGCGCATATTCACTGAGCTCTGTGTTATAATATATAGAAATGTAAAGAATGTAACACTTCAAATCATCATTCATTTTAAATGCAGGTGTTTTGCAGCATCATATCTGAACGAGGCTTGATGGGTATATGTTGTGATCCACTGCATGTACATACATGGAGTCTATGCATAAAGGAAATGTGTAGGGGTAATGTGTGGTGCTCTGACATAGACACCGATGACAATTGCCTCAGGCTTTATTTCATCAAAGGTATACGGTTTATAGGATTAAAGTTGTGATTAGGGTTTTAGATTACCGTTAGGTATAGTGTGTGTGGTCCATGTTTGAAGTCAAGATCGCAGTTTAGGATCTTTACCTTGTAGTTACCGTTGTGTGTTGCACAGCTATGTGTTTTGGTTTTTTGAACAACTAATTACATTACCCATCATAAAACTGGTACAAACACAAACATCAACAGATATACAAGCAAAGCAGTAGCCATTCAATTCATTAATTTATTTGTATGCTTCATTTACAGGAAGATGACATAAAGAGGAATAGTAATCACGCTTTTTTTCTGACTCTAGTTACCATTCACAGATAGTTATTTTTCATGGACATTCTCTTGTCTCTTCAAATGAAACAAGATAAATTCAGTGGTCCATTTAAATTCTCTGTTCTCAATCAGTCAGTTTGATTTGGTCTATTATTCCCACAAGTATGCGAGTATAAGCACAGTGAGTTTGGGGAAGAATCATTCATCATCAACATAATACAGTGAAACCTGTCTATTAAGACCACCCAAGGGAGACAAGAAAAAGGGTCTTTATAGGCAGGTGGTCTTTATGTACAAGTTCCTGAAGTACATGTTTCAATGAGAAACCATTTTCAAGGGAAACAAAAAATGTGGTCTTTGTAGAAAAGTGGTCTTTCTATACAGGTGGTCATTAAAGTAGGTTTTACTGTACATTTAAAGATGACAACTTATGAAATTCAATTATTTGGAAACTTAATAGACAGAATTTAGATAAAGGAAGACAATAAAATACATGGGTAAAATTATATGAAATGCGGGGTACATACTATGCCAAATTATCATATTCAAATATAAATTTCAGATGGTTGAATATTGTGTTGGCATTTCCAGGTAGTATAGTTGGTAGCACTGGGTATACACATATACTTGAGAGAATTCATTATTAAAGTCATTTACAGGAAGATCAGACAACCCGAAAACGAATGCCTCTGGCAGCACCTTCAGTGGTGGAGGCATACAAAACAAGATTAATTACATTTCAAAGACAGCAATAAAACTAAAACTGAAGCGAAGAGTTTCATGCCGCAAAATAACTGAACTAGAACACTAAACCTCTGCAAATATTGTTTCATGTTTTTGCTGCAGAAAACAGCAGCCGTTTCATTTTGCTTCAGTTATGTGGGAAGAGGTCAAAGCAGTGTAGCATTTGAAGGGTTGCTATTCTACTATCACCACCTTTGCTTTCATATACAAAATACAGGTTTTAAAAAAAACACCTTACTCAATTCTGAATTATGTGAAAGTATTTCCACTGCATCGAGGAAGGCAATACATTTAAATGGCTGCTCTTTCCATTCTCAAATATTAAGCAATAACACAACTCTTCTTTTTGTTTGCTACATGCAATTCTGTGTACATGAATTTTAATGCAATCAAGTAATCAAAATTTGTCAATATTCTAAATATAGTGTTTTCTTCAGAGAAAATGTTATTCCTTCATTACATGTATGTTGACCATGAAAAGAAAAGAAACAAGAATTTTGCACATCTATGAAGAGAAGGATGTTTGATATCACTCAATATTTGCTTTATCCAGATAAGTATACAAGTACATGTATGTAGCTATTGATTAAGTAATGAGAATAGCATTTTGACTATCTTATTAAATGATAAAAGACAAATATGATTTCCTCCTCAATTAAAAAAATTAAATTCTTGTACCTGTATCACAATGTCCAGAATGGCAACCTCTTGCATACATTGAAACATTTTTCTTCAATTCTAAATAATATACAAGTGATCATATTGAACATTTGTTACCGTGTATATACCATTTTGTACATGTATGTCATTAAAAAAAAAATATTCTTCATCAACAATGTTTCGCCAACCCAAATATCTCACAATAAATCCTGTATTTCTGTCCCAAAACAACCTGGATTTCTATGTAATGTAATAAATGTACACATCCAAATATTATCAGAGTGATTTTTAATCCAACATAGTGGCCCGAATTAACAAAGGAGGTTTGTAGACAAACCTCGGTTTATGTACGTCATATGACGCGTTTTGACACGTTTTTTTACAAACCTGGTTTCGAAAACCTTGGTTTGTCGACAAACCTCCTTTGTGAATTCGGGCCAGTGAGTTTAATCCAACATAGAGATTTTCTTTTACAAAGAAGGCTACCAACATAATATCTGTACCCTGATTAACATGAATATTTTGAGCATTTTACATATTCTCATCATCACCAATAATAATTCTTCATTTTCTTTAACAACCATAAAGTGTAGTATATAGTTTCAGTAAAGGACATCATTTCAGACTTGAATCAGAAGACATGAAGAGATTCTAAATGTTCCAAAATGTTTGATTCTACCCTTTATGCTTGAAAAAAATAGAAGATCTGTGTTGATTGTTCAGACTGCTGTATTACATATTCTTACACTACACGTACCTGATAAATGAAGACTAATGCATGGCCACATTATAACTGTTCAAGAAAATCTGGGTGTTGGTAACCACCTCCGGGCTTGATGAAAATAAGAAAACCTTGCTTGCTTGGTAGGAAACATTATTATGCTCAGAAGAGCGCTACAGAGAGGTTATATACATATAAACAAATATTGAACAAAGACTGATTCTTCTTTTATGCAGCAAAACCCCCTGTTCATTCTTGGGGGCAATTAAACAGAGTACAGAGAGAGGGTGAACAGAAACCATTTGACAAGGCATGGGTAATTCAAATTTCATGTTATGTAAAAAGGAGCAACAAAAAAGAATCCCCATAATGAGATATTACTGAAGTACAACTTTGACTACGCTAAAGCTCTAACCTATACTGAAGCCACTTGAAGTGCTGTGAATTGATGCCATTGCCCAATGTCGCCCTCTATGTGCTCTTCCATCTGGTGGTGAGGTAGCCTGGCTGCTGGTGCACCCTGTATAGAGATCTGGAGAAAAGAAAAGATACAAAAGCAAGCGTTAGCATGATGATGATCTTTGCAGGAATGGTTAGGGGGAGAGTGGGGAGCATGCACTAATTAACATTCCTTCCATCATAAAACTAAGGCAGCAAAGAGAGCAATACATTTTGATGGTTTTATCTCTCTCATTAAGGGTAAATAGAAGTCATAAGCAAATCCTAACACGGCTAATCAACCAAAAAGGAGGACCAAAAAGATAAACACTAGATTTCCATACTGCTCCTTTTTTAAAGCATATTGCTTCTTATTTTAAGGGACGTAATGGATATCTGAAGTGTTCACTCAGGCACTTGAATACAGGTGTTTCCTCTTACAATTTTCTTTCTTGATAAATTCCGGGAAAAAAGCAACAAAATGTATCTCTCAATGTCAGGATATATTTCCAAAAACATGTTTCTTTTTTTTTCTTTCTCATGAGTTATGACAATGTGTTTTCAAAGATATTCTAGCAATCATTCGTGCAGTAATAGTTAAAGTTTCGTCCAAGGCTGATATTCAATTTGACAACACTTCACTTTTTAAAATAGCAAATGGAAGGAAGGCAATTTTACGAGAAAACAGGGTACTGAAATCATAATTTGATTAAGTTCAATCCCAAAAAGATTCCATCTAAATTTATTTTATGATTTCTTTTTTTCTTCTTTATGGCAGTTTTCCAGACTGTTACATAACATTAAATTCTGTAATACTAGGGATCTCCAGAGCAGAGCCATCACTGCAAAATATGGGCGACAAAAAGGATGAATTCAATGCTTCAGGGTATGCCCATTCACAATTATGGTGACCACATAAATATGCATTATTGTATTGGCTACATTAAAAATATATAGAAAGTAGAGGATTAAGTTAAAAACACAGAGAGCATTCCGAAGAAAAAAAATCCCGCTGAGACAAAGCAAGAAATCACAGAAGTGGATGCAAACAACAACATAAAAAAAAAAGGAAAAAAATATTTTTAAAAATGTATCCTGACACAGAATATTGTAACGTGGATTGAGGTACCTGTGTAAGCATGAAAAATGAACCACGTTCCTGTGTTGCTTATCACATGATGCGGCAAAAACACAAGCCATGACAGTGCTGGGCTTTGGACGACCGACCGTTAACTCTCTCCCTCCTCTTGGACTCAGTCAGCTTCAGGGTTTTATACAATTCAGATTTAACGTCACCCAATGTGCCATACCTCAGCACAAGGGTAACTTGGTACATGGATTTACTTCACTATAAAAAAAAGCAGCGTAACACACAGCCGTTTACATACCTCTACATCTACATGTATATCTGAGCTATCTCGTTGACTAATTATGAAAAAATTCTACAATTACACATATTTAACAACCACTACATCTTTTTAAGAGTTAGTACAAAAAATGTAACATACAACTGCTACATTTGGGTAACTTTTTACATGTTTTCTTTTTGGTGTGGAGTCTTGAGCTTCGAAAGTGAAGATTGAAGGGCAAAGTGGAGCAATATTCTTGTGAAGGAAAAATTGTCTCCACTTCAGCATAATTGAAATAACAAATTTACACAATAATTTAATCTTCCTTTATCATCAAGTGTCATTGATATGGCATATCATTACTACTCTCTCTCTTTAACAAAAAGTTTCTTGTGATTTTGCTGTTGACTTTGTTCAGAAATTCTGAAACTGCACATTGGATTGATTGGAAAAGCTAAAATAAGTGATATGAGAGCAAAAAATGAGTGGGTAAAAAATGAAGTTTAGCTAAACAAAGATATCCCAATGACATAAATGAAATGGGTACAGGTAATCTATTCTATTTAACGTTCTACAGTTGAAAAACGATACTGTTACTATTTACACATTTCTTCTTGGAGGATTATTTCAGCTTACATCAAGTGTTCTTTTTTATGCTCACACATCACAATTTGTGGTTGTGATAGATTCCGGTGTTTTAGATATCGCAACTGAACATCTGGTCAAATATAGATGCCATAAGAAGTCAAATGACTCGACTACTCATCAAAATAAGTGCTCCATCAATGAAATTTCCAGCTGAATTATTGAATTTCCAATTCCACGATACATTTATTACTACAAGTAATGTAGAGGACATTTGCCTGTACTTCTAATCTAAAAGAATATCATTTACCCTTCACCCCTTCCCTTACCCAAGAAGTAATATTTATTTCATACTGATGACTCAAGCAGAGTCCAAACAACTTTAAACCTGAAGACGGAGTGCAGGGCTTTATATTTATGTCAAATCTAGCATAGAGACTGCTCAAGAGAAGAAAGAATACTTTCAAGGCAAGTAGTCTTGATGATCTGTTACTTTTGTAGAGAAGAGTAATGCTGATTAATGGGGATGTGTACTAGTCTTTATAAATGGGGTCTTTACATATAGGTTATGCAGGTTATCACTTAGGCAAATGAGATATACAGAGCACCGACTTGAGCACAGTTATTAGAAAAATGAAAAGTAAACTGTATAATGGCACAGGCCACTGTTTCAAAGTGTTCATTTTACAATAAAGATTTGAAACACGTCTAATTAATAGATTATTGCACCTTGACTTCAATTCTAGTGCATGAAGGGAGCTGAGTCTCTGTTATTAACACCCCGTGTTCCTTCACGTCCACATACCTCGGTTCATACGCTGATGGGGGTGTGTGATCTGGGAATGCAAGACTCGGAACGACAGATACAGAGGCGGCCGGCAGGGCCTAGTGTATAATGGCATACTGTACCTGTGGAAACAGTGCTTATCAAAACAATTCTCATAACATCGAGGGAAAAAAATCATCAGCTAGAATTAAATGGGATAGTTTACAGGTAAATACTCAGGGCTGCAAGAGGAAGTAATGTTGTAAAGAGGGAAAAAATAAATTTTATGGCCCATTCTATTTTAATGTTGTTTATTTTTTGTTGGTGATTGCAGTTTTTTTGTGTGCATGTGACTGTACCAGTGTATGCATATGTGTGCATTCTCTTTCATCCTGGGGGCATTTTTAAGATGAAAGCTTTAGTTAGAATTTGATTAGTCAAATATTTGTATCCCTTTTGAGTGAAAATATGAATAGGACCTGGTGTCTTAAATTCATATGTGAAGGGGGTGTTTTGTGAAGGAGTTTTGTGTGTGTATGGGGCGAGGTTTGTCAAGGAGCAGGAACAGTTATAGGGGTAGGGACACTCACCTGTTAGGGGCAACAAGAGTCACCTGGAGGATGAGAGTTAAAATGCAGCTTGATCTTCAGCGACTGTCACCTCCTCTTGGTCTTGAGCTCCAGCTCCAGCTCCAGTCGTTCCATTCTCCTTGCCCCTCTTCTCCTCCTCCCCCTCCCCCATCTCGCTGTCATCAGTGGTGGTAGCTGGGTCTGGATTAGCAGCATCCATGCTCTCCTCTGGCTTGTTGGAATCATCTTCACCCTTCATTGAGTCTATGCACATTGTGATAAAAAGAGAACGATTGATCATTTGATAGACAGAGAATAAAATGAGACTATTTGTAACAGGTTTCTTTTCAATTTCCTTTTTGCTAACGAAACTGTACATGAGCTTTAACCTTCTGAATGAAGTGGCCAAGTGGGAGTTTAACCAGACACATATTTGTCACAGAAGCTCTTCGCAGGATTTGCTATTGCAAAAATAAGATTTCCTCTGCGTTCTAATTTTAATGTATTTCATCATTCTTTAAACATTGATTTCAGAATTTCAACAGTCCCCTTGAAGCTTTCCACTGCTACATCACTCACCACTCCCATATGTATTGTTTGAGAATCGATATCACAGTCAGAAGAGAAATCAATGTTTTTAAAAAACAACTTTTATCTTCGACAAACAATGATAGTAGAATCCTCAAAGAAGAATATTGTCCAAGTTTATACTCCTTCTCACTGATGGGATGCATTAAGAAGCAGAAAGTGCGCTTACCTTCTTGGTCTTCCTGTGGAGCCTGATCCATTGTGACATCATCTGAGGTATCCTTCTCAGGAGATCTTGACTTGGACCTCTCATGGCTTTCTTTCCTGAATGATGAAAAATTTCATTCATTATTACTACATCAAGTTATTACTATAACAATAAATTATTCCAAATTAAACATGCTTTTCAGCCCTAACTTTAAAAAGGGGTGCCCATAGATGAGATGGTGTATTTAAGAACAATTTCAATTACAATTGCTTTATGAGCCCCTGAAAAGCAAAGAAGCGTAACCCACATGTTTAAAGTGTTAACATAGAAAAATCTATGCACTTTCTACAAGGAAACTATTGATAGACTATCAATAGAGTAAATTCCTGATAATGTCATTGGTATCAGAGGATGGACAGAACTGAAAACTATTGTATACAAATAATAATTGTGTGCTTCTTTGTTTTACCTGATTGCTGAGAAAGCTACTTTATACTGTATGACCAAAATATCATTAAGTGCACTTTGCTTCTCAGTGATCCATATAGAAACAAGTAAAGGCACCATTGACAATGAAGATGTTAGAAGGGTTTCACTACCTGTCTTTGTCCTCACAATCCTCATCCCGTGACTTGCTATGACCCCTTTCTTCTGATCTGCTGCTCTTCTCTCTTGAGCTCCTTCTGCTATGCCTCCTTTCCTTGGAACGACTCCTGTCTCTTCTTCTCTCCTTCGAGCGACTCCTATCTCTTCTCCTCTCTTTGGACCTACTTCTTCTCCTCTCCTTGGAACGGCTCCTATCTCGTCTCCTCTCCTTGGAACGACTCCTATCCCTTCTCCTCTCCTTCGAGCGACTCCTCCTACGATCTCTGGATCTGCTTCGATGATGACGATCGCTCGACCGGCTGCTACGCTTCTCGTTGGATTTGCTGCGACGTCTGTCACGGGTTCTGTCTCGAGAGCGGCTGCGACGCCTATCACGGGATCTGCTTCGGCGGCGATCGCGGGACTTGCTCCTCCTCCTCCTGTCGCGAGATCTGGACCGTGATCGCCTTCGTGACCTTTCTTTTTCTCTCTTTTCCCTCTCTTTACGTCTTTCTTCTCTCTCCTTTTCCCTCTCTTTTTCTTTTTCCCTCTCCTTTTTCCTCTTTTCTTCCCTCTCCTTTTCTCTTTCCTTTTCCCTCTCTTCTCTTTCTTTGCGGATTTTATCTTCCCGGTCTGTTACTTCTTTATCCTTTTTTTCCTGCAAAACAAAAAAAGAGAAAAACAAAGTCAAGAAACTGAAACATTATCTCGCACAGACATACCATTTTAAAAGTCAGTGCAATTTCCTCTAATGGCAACATGCACTCAAATTTACAACACATACCACATCCTAGACAATCATCATCATCATCATCATCGTTTAGAGTCCATTTGTCCCACTTTGTGGGGTTGGACATTTCATTTCTTTAATGGCCGCCTTCCAAGCTTTCCTGTAAATAAGAAAATAAGACGCTAAATACCACGTATCAATGAGGAGTATCTTAATTGAACTTATATAAAATGTTAGTTTCTGATAATGTTATCAGTCAAATATAACCCCCCAAAATTGCAAAAGCTCACTGACTAAATCCTTAATGATCTGCAATTTGTTACCTGTATTTCTTCAATGGTCAATTTGATCTTGGCGAATCCCATGTGCTGTTTACCCATCAGATGATCATCCACTCGCGTCTGTGAGTCGCCCACGATGAGGAATGCTCCACAAACCTCACACACTTCCATCTGTTTCTCTTGGGAAAGAATGGTGTCCAGCGCTTCCTCTGAGGCCTGTTGATATGCAAGCGTATGGTAGGAACTTACGGAATATGCTTGAAAAGTTGAGACATGATTTATTTTTTAAGCAAATATGACCGTGGAATAAAGTCATTATTAATTAAAATTATTATGTTATAAATCATTGTTGTCATAATAAATTCAGCTCTCAATGAGTAGAGAAATATTCCACACTGATTTTCAATATCAACTTTAAATAACTATGATGCTACGATGATGTTCATGTAACCCTCTTGTGTAACAGACTTCACAATATATTGAAAACACAGTTTAGATGCTTTTCCAAGATTCCAAAGCATACTTATTACACTTTTATCACTTTAAGAAAGATAAGAAAAGCTGTCTTTTTATACGGGTGGTCTTTACGTACAGGTCTCTCACACGTAAGTATAGGTTTCAATGTGACACACTTGGGTGTAGAATAAAAATGTGGCCTTTCAGCACATGATCTGTATTTAGTGGACAAGCAATAATATTCCTTTTACGAGCAATAAGACAAGTGTGCATGAATTTTTCAAAAGGCAAGATGACTTACTGCTTGCAGCTCTGCCCTCTCGTAGGAGAGTTTATCACATAGCTTCATCATGTTCTGTGCCTCATCCACCCTGCCCTCGCAGCCCAAGGACTCCACCTGACCTAGCAGTGAAGTGATGCGCTCTGAAAGGATCTTGATCTGCTCTTCATCAGGGCCTCTGTGAGGGGCTGTCAGCTGCACATGACATACAATCAGAGGGGTTCTTACAATCAAATTAATTTCAACACTATCATATCATTTCATTTTCAGTGGAGTATGGTCTTGAAAGGCATATGAAATACACAGAATAGTGATTAAGGCCCAAGAGGCTCATATAGATTTCTGTCACAAAAATTAGCTTCCATGAATAAAATTTTCATTTCCAAACACCTGTCCACAATTTTTTTTTTAAAGATAAAGTTGAGTTCTGGTCATGCGATTGCATTGCGAAAGAAAAGGTGTGGAATGGATCAGAAACAGTTGATCATATAGCATGTAAGTATTAGTGTGTACTGTAAGGTTCTGGAGTCATCAAAATCCTAATAAATTTGGCCCAGTCTTGGTAAAGTAACAAGCACTGTACACAGAAAGATGTATATGGGACTACACAAATGGTGTCCAGCTACTAACCTTGATTTCCTTAGCTTTCTATGCTCATTACTCAGCCAGTATACAGTTTTCTACCAAAATTGTTTGGCAAATGACATTTATTTATAATCTAGAACATTCAGTGCAAGTTTCGTTTGACTCTGTGAGAATTTTTTTTTTTTTTGAACCAGAACTCAAGTTTATCTTTAAATAGCATTCTGGTCATTTTCAGGATTTTATACACACAAAATCAAAATCAAGTTTAAAATGTATTATGACATGCATCAAAAGTGAAACCCTTGCTTATTTATGTAACCCACTCTTGCAACCCCGAAACAGTTTGTATGTATCGGGGATATGACACTTATTTCTGTTGACGGAGCGTGGCTGTTTTCTAGCTCTGTGTATTTAACTGAATCCCGAATTGTGTACATTTCCTGACGAGTGAAAAAGTGCTGTTTATACAACGTTATTACGGTAGACACAAGATTGTACCATCCCATGAAATATAGTACAAAGTACAAAGTCATTCACAGAATACTGAAATTATTCACAAGAATTATGTACAAGAATTAACTCTGAAAATAATATACTGTCTAAAAAATATATTGATGTGTTATCCTGTTAGTGCCCACATGGAATTACCCTGTCGGAGATGCAATGGGCAATTTTACTCAGGAAAGACATGAACCCTATTAAAATGTCAATTAATTCTATAAGACAATATAGAGAGATGATTACATTTGGTCTGTTGCTGTTGAGTGCCAGTCTGGAATGACCTCTCTTAATCCTTTTCTCCACATCGTTCATGATCTGCTGCAAGTACTGCAAGAACTCCTCTTCATAGTTCATCCGTTTGAAACGACTACTCTCAATGTATCTAGGGAATCAAAGACATGCGATACAGATGTTAGCAGGGCAGATGGGTATTGAATAGGCAAAAAAAAAGGGGGTGGGAGAGAAGGGTATTTGGTGCAACTGCTATACAGGTACAGTATATCATCATGAACAGCAAATGTGAATGAAGACTGGGGAAAAATTCAATTCTGGAAAGGTCTTTTAACTTAAGCTAAGGAAGACTAGAGTACCAATAAATAGAAATCTATGGAAATACAAATTTCACAATGGTCAATCAACAACAACAGAAAACTCCCATGTAAAAAAAATGATTATGATACATTGGGATTGATTGCAAAATAAGAAATCTGAATTTGAAAATAAACTTGTGTCGTGATCAGTGAAAAAAAGAAATGACAATCTTATTCTGGAAAGATCAATAAAAGGAAAGATGGAAGATACTTTATATTGAGAATGATCCATAATTTTTTTCCCTAACGAAACCATAAACTGTGAAGACTAAGCTCATTTGTACACTTACTCTTTTTTGAGATGATCATCATGTATTTTCTCGCATTGACCTGATAAAAAAAGTTGAAAATATTCATGCTGTAAAACACTTTATTCAAGATGAAACACATTCATAACCGTACACTTTCATTCAATTATTCATTATCATCATATAAATTTCAATTATCCCCAATCAATTTACAACAGGGCTCGACACCTACTTTATCGGAAGGGGGTTGAGATTGAGCTTTTTACAGTCAGTTTGCCTGAGCCCTAGGTATTCCTGAACATATGCTAAATTGAATTAATAAGTGCTGTAGCCTGGAAGGCTTACCGGGTTCCAACCCGCCGGGTTGAGCATTTCGGGCCGGACCAGTGCCGGGCCGAACTGTAGCCAGAATTAGATCAACTCGGTAACAAAACCCGGCAGTAAAAAAGAGTTTTTAAATAGCTCATTGTTCGTTATCTACTTATCTTTCATCACCATAAAACCTGTCAAAAGTAACTGTAAACAAACACAGCATGATGGCTCGATCTTTTACATATGTTGACCTGTCTTTGCAATAGACACAGCACACATAGATTTTGTGTCGTGTGTTCAAGTGTGTATATGTATCTCCCTAGCCCTGGCCCTACCTGCAAGTGATGTGACTGATCAGCTTACTGTACTGACCAATCAGAAAGTTTCCCCCGAGTGGGCGGAGAGTGAAACCAGCATAAATTAAAGTTCAGTGATTGCTGGCACAGTAGAACAGACGATTCATAAATTATGAAGTTTGTTGACCTAGCTGATAGACGAGTGAATGGCAAATTTACATAATGTGGATGAGAGTGTGTATGTGAAAATTTGTTATGCCTGAGGTGGAGGCTGAGCTGAGATGAAGGCGGCAGAGAGTTAAATTAAAGTGTAATTCCATCACCAAAATACTTCCTGACAAGCGGATTTAATTAGCAAACAAGATAATTATTGGGGTCCATTCTCTCTCTTATTCCCCTGTCTCTTTCTGCCTTAATTCTTAACCAAAATTGAACAAAAAGATTTAGCCCAGATTAGAAGAAAAAAAAGAAGAAAAAAAATGATAAGTTTGTGAAATGTTGATAGTCTTTAGAGATGAGAAGGAAAAGGTTATCTTCATCATCATTCTTCCTTCCATCTTTACCTTTTTTCAATTCTATTTATTCATCTTCCGAATGTGTTATAAACCTTTTTCCCCCCTCAAATCAATTTGATCTTCTTTCTTAAAAAAAAAATAAAAGTACAGAATTATTTACGTAATGTAGTTTTTCTCATGTTTTCTTTTCTTTCTTAAGTTTCTTTCATTGTGTCTCTCGATCCCCCCAAAATTAATTCACATCTGATATATCTCTTTCACTATCATGTCACAGAAATTTAGAATACAAAACATTCCCTGTCAAAGATTAATGCATGCCAGACAGCTTGGGCCCAGCTAGGTGTAACATTACACCGCGGTTTCTTTGAACAGGGTTCAAAGGTTCATAGGTTCAACAAGCAGCCTTTGTCCTGCTATGCGCACATTTCAAAATATATGCAAATATCAGTTAAGCTATATCATGTGCCTTACATTGTGATTATTGTTTTTAATTGGCGGACAAACAGACCAATCATAGTAGAGCATGTTGTATGGGCACTCTGACAGGGAAATGAGCTATTTTTAGGATGCCTACATACATGTAGCTAGCGTTATGCTTCATCTTTTTAGGGAGTGGATTAAGGGTGATAATTTATGCTGACCTGGGACTTATATCTGGACTCACAGACAGCATGATAAACAAAATGAAGCGATGTGCCCTCCATTCAGGACAAGGTCGGTAGATCACACAAGATGTGTTTGTAGTAGCTTTCAAATAGAATCTAGTCAATATTATTTCAGTCCAACTCTCACCGGGTTACCGGACCTTTCCGGTCCCGTTAAGAAATTTGGAAAATTGCCGGGTCGGGCCGGGTCCGGGTTTTGGGTTCCGAGCTACAGCACTAGAATTAATCATTGAATGATATTGCCTTAAATATTTTGATAACTATTTATCCACATCTTCAATACATTTTTCTAAATCTTGTATAATTTTGCTGTGTGATGTTACCATTGACATTTTTTTATATTGCTTTTCTATTTTGATGACGGTATTATTATTGTAAATATCTGATTACTTTGTAAAACTTACAATATCAGCCTTGAGCCGCATGTCATGTTGTCTTTTAATAAACCTATTCATCCAGACTTAGATTTTGGGCACTCATTTATCTCAGGGCCAGTCAATATTGAGCCCTGCAAAAGGTTGTATGTTGAGTGGACAGTTTTTTTTTAATATTGATATTTTTAAAAACCACTAAAAAAAAAAATCATCATGCATATGAAATAATAATTATCTTCCACTTGAAGAAGAAAACTATAGAGAGCAGGTCTATATTTGAAACTCACCTAAATCCGATCTTGTGTTCACAAATAGTTCATTTGGGCAGAAATCCACCAGATAATGTTTGCAGACCTGAGTGGAAAAGAAAAACTTGTGGCTAATTCATATTTGATATTGGTCTCATGAACTATTTTAGTTTAAGCCCTATAATAAAATTAAGCGCAAGTTGGGAGCAGTTTGTCTATTTTTTTTAATAGTTTTCTTCTTCCTTTTTCAGGTCAAGAAGTCATATCTTTGTATGATGGAAAGGGGGGAGGGGGGGGGGGGGTGTCGGGACACTTACCAAACATAAAGCCTTCTCTTTTGCATTCAGTTTTAACAAAAAATATTCATCAAATAGCATCAACTAGCCATCATCTAAAATCCTTCCCAAAGAGATTGCACGCATCCCTATGCAGTCTATGTGCGTTGCGCGATCATGCAAAATTGGTCAATGTTTTCATTACCAAATCGAGATTCAATTCAAACCTTTATTTCTTGTGATCCTGAAGGTGATATTAAAAAATGAGGTGTCATATGAAAGAGCAGATTAATCTCCATATTTCCAAAGGGGCGTCATCGTGGAATTCTAAAAATAGCACGGTCAAAACAGCGACTTAAAATTTGTTTCTATCGTAGCTCCGAAATTTGCCACTTTTTTAGAAATAATGATCAACGCAGTGCTACTTTTTGACCTGGCGTAAGATACCTGCTCCGCCCGCTAGTGCTATAGATCAGCGCGTGCTTCCTATTGACTTTGTACATGCGGTCGAATAACTGGCTCGCTATGTCGTTAACTGCCTCCGAAACAGTGAAAATTGAAATGAATATTGTCATGGCAATTTGTGATTTTTTTTCTTGGATTCTTTTTTTGTTTAAATAATAATATTTGCTTCATGATTTAAACAAGAAATGATAATAAATAGGAAGTAAAGAGTCCCAAAAATAGGATTTTGTCTTAAGTGGTCGAAAACCCCCTCCTTTACTCTATATGTGCGCTGCACATGAACGTCCGAAGCTTGGCAAGTGCGTCAGAAGCTTGGCAAGTGCGTCCGAAGCTTGGAATGAAAACAGGTTCGGCGGGTAAGTAAATAATTCTAGTTTCCCATTTCCTTTACTAATTTTCTTTTACAACATGACATAGTAGGGTGTCTGATCGCGCACCCGATGTTGTGTGCTAAAATTCTTCCCATAGAGATTACACGCATCCCTATGCAGCCTACGTGCATTGCGCGACCATGCAAAAAAAGTCAATTTTTTTTTTTCAAATCGAGATTCAAAACTTTATCAGTTGTGATCCTGAAGGTGATAATCAATGAATAAGGTGTCATATGAAAGAGCAGGTGAATTCCAATATTTCCAAAGGGGCGTAGCCCCCGAAATTCTAAAAATATCTTGGTCAAAACAGCAATTTAAACATTGTGTCCTGGCTAACTCTGAGGTTTGTCACTTTTGAGATATGACGCCCCGATCGATATGTAGTCCCAGTCCTAAGGAACAATTCTATGTGATTATATTTTCGCTAGCCCCCAGGGATCACAACTGATAACAGTTTAAAAATACCCTTCTCGCTATTTGGTGGATCAGCTAATTAGGAGGCGTGCGCTCCGCTCAGTCCAAACCATGGTTACATCGCGTAACATCTCCGCGCACGAACGAAACCCCAAATTCAATTACACATTATAGTGACTGAAATTATGGTTGGCAATTCCCTCGATAAACCCGGAAGTGAATACACGTTATAGTCAATGGCAATATCGCGGAGACAGCGTTGTCTCCGCGATATTGCCATTGACTATAACGTGCATTCACTTCCGGGTTTATTGTGCGACGAACGCCAACCATACTAGTCAATCGCACATGTCGCGGAGACAGCGTAGCTCAAGCTGCAAGTCGCGGATTGGCTTAGCAGCATGCGTACGATATGCACACGCTTGCATATCGCGCGATACAGCTGTTTGGCTAAATTTAGCAAAACAACATCACTCTGCGTGGACGTCTTTTTCGTCGATTTTGACCAAAATGATATGAATATACCAGCGTGTTGGAGGGGCTGTAACTTTTGATAGAAACATCGGTGAGACTTGAAATTTGAAATGCATTATTCTGATAACATTTTTTATTCAAATATCAAACAAAAATGGTGAAAAACGATCCCAAATTGAAAATTGAAAAATCGTTCAGACACCCTAGACATAGACCTCTAGGTCTACATAAGCAGTATTTGCACAATAATAGTATATTTGGTTTTCAATAATTAAAAAAGAATTTAATGTTTTCCCCCGTTAGGTCTTATTCTTAAGTGTCCGAAGTTTGGCGGTCTTATTTACGTCTTTAACGTTGATTCTGACAATAATTGGATGAATATGCTTCGATTTGGGGGGCTGTATCTTTTGATAGAAACATAGATGAGTCTTGAAATTTGAAAGGTATTATTCTGAGTAAATGTCTCTTTCAAATATCCAACCATAATAGTGAAAAATCGTTCAGACACCCTAATATCATGATATTAAATAATACACAAACACGATACAGACGTCAGACGCACACTCTGAAACTGAAAGCTGAATTCAAGTCACACGGCACGGCAGGCGGCACACACACTCACCATGCTCACGCGATCACGCTCACCATCTCAGACTAAAATCTTAAAAATAAATAGGAAATGAGATTCATTAATCTACAAAGATTTCCCCACAATGTTGATAAAATACAATACCTCTGCATCACTCCATCTTATACCAGAAAACTTTTCATCAGGCGCATTGTTTCGATTTTTGCCCATCAACTCATCAAGCAGTGCAGCAGCAGCGCCCGCCATCTTGATTATGAATTTGCAATATGCGCATGCGCTGACAAAGCTAGTACAGCAAAAAAAAAAATCAAAGTTCTATCACCGATCAGATCGACTGTCCCTGTAAAAGTATATAGTGTTACAGCAGGGTTTAAAACACCTCCCTGGTTACAGTTAGCTTGAGGGGCTCACGGGGCCAGGGCCCGGGGGTATATATTGTACTTATCTTATTGTACTTATCTTAGGCCGCCATGTTTATGTTTATAAACTTACACCTTTTAGACATATGTTTCATTTATTCAATTAGTACCTTGAATTCAATCCTGAAGTTTTTTTCTTCTTACAATTAAATATAGTCTATAGTTTGTAAAAGATCAGAATATTTCACCTCTGATTTTGATCAATCATCTTTAGCAGCTACCGGTATATAGCCTAACATGAAGCTGGCTTGTAAAATTCTGAAAGGATCACTTCATAATTATAATCATCAACATATCATCATCAACTTGCATGCAGGCATCATGTATAATTCCAATATTAAAATCCACAGCAATTCTTGCAAACAAGTATAATCAACCACCCTTGCATAATTAATACTGCAGGTATACATCAACAATTATTTGTTTTAGTTTCATTTTCATATGTTTCCTTATAGCTCAGCATTAATTATGTTTATATTATTTACTTGTATCAACTATAGTGGAAAACAATATGAAAATATGTACGTCCCATAATCTCTCTATATCTCGCTATATAGAAATATCACATAGCTACATGCATGGCCCTATTTGTTATAAAATGGGGGAATCTAGCATATATACCTAATTCCCCAATTTAAAAGCTATATTAATTATACAGTGGTTAGGATTCAGCTACAAAAATGTGCAGAAATTGGCATGTGCATTTTCTACATTTTCCATGAAAGTTTCACGATTTGAGAGTATATAGCCCAGCAAGGCACATCGGTTATGAGCATAATCCATGGCCCAGCTAGAATATACTGTGCTATCATCAGGGGCGTAGACAACGGGGGGGGGGGGGGGGGGGGGGGGGGGGGGGATGAGGGGGATGCATCCCCCCCCCACCTCACAAGGTGGGGGGGATGGCATGTACAATCATCCCCCCCAGGTATTGGGGAATGATATTTGCTTACTTAATAAGTCATAATGATGATAATAATAGTAATAATAATGATAACAATTATAATATTAATAATAATAATAATTATGATGATGATAATAATAATCCTCATCATTATTGTATTTGTGTTTATTGTTATTAGCCGCATTCACACGGTGAAAGCCAATTCAGACGGTAAAAAAAAAAAAAATCTTACAAGTATTTTGTGGTTATCTTGTGGTTTGGAAACCACAAGATAACCACAAGATTAAACAGGCACGGATTTACGGGGGGGGGGGGGGGGGGGGGGGGTTAGGGGGTTTAAACCCCCCCCCCCCCTTGGGCGGCCCAAAAAACAAACAAAAATAAAAGGGGAAAAAAAGGAAAAAGAAAAAGAAAAAAAAGAAAGAAAAAAGAACGCACGCTGGAGAGAAACCCTTTCAAGTGCAAATATTGTGAGAAGATATTCAACTCAACTGGTAACTTAACCAAACACATGATAACTCTGGATATAACTGTGTATTTAACTGTTACTTGATTTAAAAAGACGTTATCATGCACTGCTTTTTATGGTCTCCATTGTGTTAATAGATGCCAGGAAAACATCACTTACGGGGTTCAAATAAACACCCCCAAAAAATCGGCTCGCCGCTTTGCGGCTCGTGGACGATGCTCTGCATCGTCATTATTGATCAACCCCCCCTTAGCAAAAAGCTAGATTCCCCCCTGAGTCATCCCCCCCAGGTGTACGAACCTGTCTACGCCACTGGCTATCATTATATCATATATGCCGTCTTTACCTCTCTCATCTCACCCTTCTTTTCCATTCTGATCTCTCACATCCTCTCTCTTTATACCACAACCACCTCCCCCTCCTATTACTTCCACTTTTACCTCTACTCTTTTCAATTTTCTCTCACAAGTTCTTTGTTCTGTTTTTCTCTAATCTTTGCTGTTTTGATTCTCTCAACCTGTTTATTTTTCTGGTTTTCCTGTCCATACATATTCCACTGGGCTTTTTCTCTATAAACTGTGGTGTGCATTCCCTGTGATACATTTTCATGCACATGGATCGCTTTTATGTCTTACATATAAAATATTTGTTAAATGTTGATTATTCTCATTTGTGATTCTATGTTAATACATGTTTATTTGACACCTTGTATTTTTTATGGAAACAGCTAGAAAATAATTTGTATGCCAATTATACTCTGATTTTTGTGCATGATGACCAATAAATTGAACTAAAATGAGCTAAACTATACATTTGAGACAAATACATTTTACTCATATAATTTATTTCAGTCTATTCATATGTTTTGCTTACATTAATGTATGTCATAGATAACATAAAGATTAAAACTTATCCTCATATCTTTTTTAAAATCTGGATTTGAAGCTCTACTAAAAAAAAAGTAAAAATTAATGTGGTCGTTAATTGATTCAAATACACACCATAACTCAATCAATAATTTTTGCTCTTATGCCACGTCATGAAGTATTTGATTATTGTTTATAAATTTGAACAAATTTATGACTTCATCTAATTTTGATGTAAGAAATATATAACTCTGTTCTGTAAATAAACCTTAGGTCAACAGCATAATTTCATATTCACAATTATACAACTATAAATCTATGGTATATACCTCCATATACAAAAACATTAAATCGCATATACTGGCAAGACCATTATAAGCACATATTATTAAACAGCACAACTTGTTACTACTCTATAAAGTAAATAAGAAGTGGAGAAGCAAAATATATACTTCACAAAAATGTACTTCAGTGAACTTTTCCCCACACTTGTTAATTTGTACATATATCTATGACTTCCGTTGTGCACTTGCCAAATACTTCAAAGTCAAAGAAGTGAAATAGTTATATATATAGCACACTATCAATAATTCTGAATGAACTGTAACAAATTATAGTACCTTTACGTACATACAAGGTACAAATATGAAAAGAGATGTATGTTTAATTGATGAGTTGACGGAGGTATAAAATGTTTTTAAAAAGACAGTAACAGTACTATAAACATACTAAAATAAACTTATGAACTGTAACCTTGGATAGAAGATGCTTGTTTGGACGGATTTTATTCTTTTCAAGCACCGAGAAGAAGCATAACCTTGGATGGCATCATCTGAATACAGTTTTAAATAACAGCTTTAATCAATCTGCTAGTAGTACTTCAACCATTAAAAATATCAATAACAAGGATTTAATTACAAGGGTTCTAGCACTGTTTGATCACTATTGAAATGGAGATCTTCTCATCTGCAATTCAGTCACTATATGTGATGTCATAGTGGGAATACTTCAACAGGCACTGTGAACTAAACAATTACAATAAATATAACTCCTCTACATTTTCATGATGAAACAAGTATTCTCCTACAAATACCTGAGTGACAATATCTCAAGGCTTCATTTTATCAAAACTATCGGGTAAGAATCTGGGTCGCAATTGGGTATTAGCTTAGGTTTAAGGTTATAGGGTTGGGTATGCCTTTGCATGGTCCAGGAGAGAGGCGCTGATGTTGGTCTAGTAGAGAGGACTTAGTCTTGTTGGGGTCCCATATCCCAGTCTAGGTCTTCTGGCATCATATGATCTATCAGTGTATGCATCATTGTAGTCCTGTGGGGAGGGGGGGGGGGGGGGTCAAGAAAGAGAAAAGAAGAATATATTAATGAATTATTCTAGATCAGATGTGCCACAACTCAGACACAATGCCTACTGGATGCTCAATTAACCCTTTGCAAGTGGTAGGGTGATGGGAAACAGCTGTCCTGAAAACTACTCCTTTTTTTACACACAATCGTAGACGGCATTCATAAATCAGACTTTTCGAAATGCGTTGCAAGATTCCTTACTCTAATTGAGAGTCGATGCTAAGCCACATCAATGATTCTATACAAAAAAACAGAATTTCCATCCTAAAAAGACAAAGACTCTTTAATGTGATAAGAGTTTGACATGAGGCAGTGTTGTGGGCACAAACACATAGATTTGCCCGATACTGGCCCCTAGCTAATCCCCTGATCTGTACGTGTGTAATAAAATACAGAAATATGAAGCAAGCACACACCATATAATTTATTTTGCCACAGCACAAGCCCTAGCAGTTGCCTAGTGTTTAAATGGGCATAAACATTTTGACTGCAAGAACAGATGACAAAATCTATTCAAGAATTATTATTCATCAGTTATTTCTTCTCTTGGACTGAACTAAGCATCATTTACTAGGTTGACTGACTCACCTGCCGGGGTTTTCCTCTGTCATAATATGGCAGGGGAGGTAACGAGCGTTGCCTTAGAGAATCATCTGATCTCAGTGATATGCTAGCTTTCTCTTTGCCCCACTCTTTGGCTTTATCCAGTAGCTGAAATAGAAAGAGTAAATATGTGAGACTTCTGATTAGTTACTTCATTGATTAGGACTCCTTTTCCTCTTCTTAAAAAAAGAAGAATGCAACCATGCATGCGTATATATATTTTATCTATCATCATCATCTCCTTTGTAAAGAGCATGCATCCTTACATTTCTAAGAGAGGCTATTTCTTAGCAAGCTACATGTATTGCTATTTCTATTATTATATCATTTCAACTTTGTAAGATACCAAATCAAATTCTACCGGGAAGACATAAAGATACATAAAAAATTTGAGCCATAACAATAAACCATATTTGGCTAAAATGCATTAATACCAACCAAACTTTTGACTCCTCATTTCTGCATTATATACAATACATTCTATGGAGCACAGGTGGAAGTATTCTTCTCAAGGCAAACAAAATGTATTCATGAAGCACCTCCATGACTTTGGCAGTGATTATACTAAAATGCACAAAGTGGGAATTCTCCATGTTTAAAATATCTGTGGATATTCAGAGTCATTTGATCCATGTGCTAATTATGAACTTATGTATTGTTGTAACATTACAATGATAATAAAAAAAAATCATATATAGCGTATTTTTACAAAAACAATAATTATATTTCTCACCTCTTTTTCTAATGATGACACTCTACCCTCAGTTCTCTCCAACATGAACTGCATCCTGAGCTTCTCTGCTTCATTTGCGGAACCTCCCTGGTAGATGAAAAAGTAAAAATTTTGAAAGAATTGACCTAGAATTTATTTTAAAATAAAAATAGACAGTGCGGGTACAAATAGATCATAATTATACAGACAAATATCACAATATAGCAAACATGGCCCATAACAATGGATTTGCCAAAGCAGGGCATAACATATAAACATAGAACATACAGTTGTATAGCTATTTGATACATAATTCAATAAGATAATATATATGAGGTAATCAACATTTCAGAAATATCAATTAAATGGAAATGAATTAGATATAGGTGTCATGTTTTTTTAACATATGAGAATGGTGTGTTAAGTAATGTGGAGTATATTAATGACCATGATTCGATTCATACGATCCATACAAAGATTCTGCAAAGTAATTGTCTCTTCCCTCAAATGGTCATAGTTATAAAGAAACATTACAGAGAGAGATAATTAACACCATTATTGCTTATTTGTCAGGAGTTACAATTCCCTTACCCTCGGCTGAGAAGCAGAGAGAGCTTTCATGTGTTCTAGTTCTGCTTTCAATCTGGCATTCTCAGCTGCTAGTGCTGCTGTCTCCTGGGATTCTACAACAAAGAGAGAGTATACTAATGATAAATTATACATATTACCATGACAACAAGCAAAGGACCAATCAATCCTTCACGTGTCGTAGGTAGAAGCTTGACTTTCTTCTGAAAATTCAAAATGGGTTCTTTGATTGTGATATGAAAAACTACCGTTAATACAAAAAAACATTGACAAAATGGATGCAAGTTATATGTATCTCTCTGCCTGTAATATGTATGTTCATTGGTCAATGATCCTGTGACCTTTAGCATCTTCCCTCACAAACTGAAACTCTTGATTTAATCTTTTCATGCTTATACACACATCTACTCAAGCCAAGTTTTGTTGATATTGGTTAAATTTTTAAGAGTTATCACAGTAATAAGAAAACTTTAACAAGTGCACTTTCTTGACCAGTAGTTTCAGATCTTTCACCATCTCCTCCAGTACGTTGTTTCAGCATTCTAGATTTACAAAATAACAATTCCATCAAACATACAAGCTACTGACAGTGATGATCGTGGGCCCTAGCTCCTACCTTCTTTAAAGCGAACCCCTTGCTTGCCTTGTTTGGCTTTCAGTGCTCGGTCCATCTTCTCTAGGGCTTTCTCCTGCTCCCTGCAAGCCTGCTCCAGCTTCACCACCTTCCCCTGCCTCTCCTGCAGGAGCTTAGACTGTGACAGCGAGGCCTCCTGCTGGTCCAGATAATGCTTCTCCCTGTCATTGTGCTGGAAAAACAAAGACCAGTTATTCATTAGTTTCTTTAAAGTTTCTTTAAAGCCACACTGTACTACTTGTAGCTACTTGCTCCCTCTATAAACAATGCCTAATCGGTGACCATTGGTCCCCCATGATCCTCTTTTTATAATGTTAATTGAGAGCTGAGTTGATGAGATAGCCACCTGTCCAGTGACCTTGCAGAGTGGTCTAATCCCTCCTATAAACTAGTACAGATGAGTTACATTTCATCTCCCTATGAAAGTGCTTGTAAAAGTCAATACAGATTCAAAAGATAAATTCTATTGAGTTACTAATAATTATATTCTGGGTTTATGCAACACTTACTTGATCAAGGATGTCTCTAAGAACTTTACAGATATATTATTACCACAGTCATTGATTCAGGCTGGCCCGCACACAATGTATGCACATTCTCTACTCCCTGGGGAGATTTCAAGCCAGGCACAACTTTAAAGATACTGACAATGCTGAGCAAACTGTGATGACTTTTGTGGGTACCCATTCAACAACTGGGTGGAGAGTGGCAAATATGGATTAATGTCTTGCCATAGGATGCCAATGCCAGGCTGGGATTTGAATCCTAAACCCTTGGACCAAAAGTCCAGTGAATGAACCCCACAACAAGAATAAAATAAGTAAATAAATTAATAAACAATTCATACAAGTTTGATGTTTAAGACGTACCTTGATGAGGTCGTTCTGAGCATGAAGTAGTTTCTCTCTGTAGTTTGCTGCTTCTGCGACCTGTTTAGAGAGGGACCTCTTCAATGTCACTGCATGGTAGGTATAAACATTAGAATTAATTAGATTAACTCTCTTCATAATGGAACAGAGAAAATAAAAGCACACATATCTAACCTATGATTAGAATATATAAGATGCTACAATGTACACACAGTATTCCAATTTCTTTGCTCTTTCTTATAGGCAATGTACATGTACTTGGTCTTCTGGTCAGGTCACTTCTGGGCATATAACTACACATATATTTCAAAAAGATATTGAAGGTATGTTGCTCTTCCCACCAACTATTGTGCATAAACTAATTATTTTTTCCTTGGTACATAAATGCTTTAAAATACTATTTCAAATTTGCAACAGATAATATAAATCTAAAAATGAATGAAATTACTTTTCATCATTTTAAAATTAACCTCCACACTTGTAAAGCAAGTAGGAAGTACTGGATTAAACCCCTTGAAAGGGTACTCAAGTATTACAATGCAATAATTTCCTTACCGTATTTCTCAAGCATCTCTGCCTTGCTCATACCCTCCAGCTTAGCATCAGTCACCATTGCCCTGGTCGTATCCTCGTACATGTTGGCCTGCTGACGGAGACGTGAGTTGTCTGTCTCTAACCTCGTGAGGGCGTCCTGCTGCTTGATCACTTCCTCGCCCATCCTCTTCATGGCCTGTCGATAGCTCTCGATCTCCCGTTGCTGTGAGTCGATCAGGTTCATAAGTGTCTGATCATTTTGACCGCCACCGACAGGAGATTTTGGCTCTCTTGATCTATACATAACAAAAAAAAAGTATAATTTTTCATCAAAGAATTGAAATTGAAAATCATATCAAGTGTTCTTTGTCATTCAAATTAGTTAGAAAGTGAGTCAAGTTGAAAATCAGAAATTTCGTTTTGAATGTCTTTCCTCAAAGATTAAGAATATTGTACACAATGAGACATGGTGGCCCATCCCCATTTTAGTATGGAACGATATAATGCTTTAAACACCATGGGCAGCAGATCCAAGCACTGACTGCAAATACTGTGCTACATGTACATTTTTATACAGACTTTGAGCTAAAAATAGCTTTCTTTCCTTCCATGAGCAGAACCATGGGCAATCACCGTACGGTTGTTCCTTTGGAAGATAAGCCTAATATAACAGTTCATTTATGATAAAAAATCAAACCTATTGGTACAAAAGACACATTTTTACTATCTGTATATAGCAAATGATACAAATAACCTCAAATATCATACTTTCATGAATACGTATCCAATATTAAACTCGGTGGGTTTTACAATTTTGTACAAATATCCTTTAACTGCACATGTGCAGATAGTATCTATGAAGAGGCTATAGAGTTTTACATGACGAATCACACAAAAATTCTGTATCTCAAGTCTACAGTCTAACTCACTGTGGCTTGTCTGAAGGAGGAGGAAGCCTGGTGGGTATCAGTCCCTTGGTTGATGTAGGCTTCTCCCCGGGCTGAACCAAGCGGTCTTGTGGATTGGAATCCAGAAGATTCTGAAGAGCATCACTAGGTGGGAGGTCATCATCTTTCAAGGACTGTTTGGAAATAAAAATAAATATTCATATAACTCTAAATAGGCATACAGATTAAATATTAAAAGTGAATATTTATAAAATTATATTAACTGTCAGAGAATGAAAATTTTTACAATGTCTCTCCCACTGCCCTCCCTCCTTCCCTTCATTCCTTCCCTCAGACCCTCATCCCCTCCCATTCACTCCCATCCTCAATCCCTCCCTCCCCTGCTTCCCTCCCACCCTAACTCCATCCATCCTTCCCTTCCACCCCCACTCCCACCATCTCTCCCTCCCTCCCTCCTTCCTTCCTTTCCACCCTCTCTCCCTCCTTCCCTTCAAAAGCAATCAATTCTCAAGTCAATTTCGAGTCCCTCAGAACAATCTATCATTTACACTGACAGCCTACTCTTATGTATCCAAGGAGACTGTGAAGTTGTTAGCTTCATGATCAAAGCAGATTAATAATTTACAAGGTGTAGAAGGAGAGCTATAGGCTCATGAATAAATAAGATCCTGAAATGATACATCTTTATACACACACTAAAACACAGGATTGGCAGTGTGGTGATTTACATGTAAAATTGAAATTATCGTAATGAAATATATATATTGTAAAACTGTACAAGGTTGTCTCGCTGAATTATGGTACATGGTAGGTCTACATGTAGGAACAATGAAGGCCTATTCTTTCACGTAGTATTCTAAGCGGGGAATTCCACCCTGATATTGGGTTTAACAAAAGTGGACAAATGATCGAGGAACAGGCAAGTGAAAGTTTGAGCAACTTTCGATATGAAATTTTGAATTGACGACCAATCAAACACAAATTCAGAATTGGCAGCGCTGTGACATATTTTGTGAGCTTCTCTCCAGGGGCGGATCTAGGGGGTTTTGGCGGTTTAAACCCCCCCCCCCCCCCTTGGGCGGCCAATCAATGAAAAACAGGGGGAAAAAGAAAAAATAACAAAAAAAGGAAAAAAACAGTAAAACGGCGCGATTTTTGGAAAATCGTTGATCCGCCACTGGGTCAAACCATAGACGTACCACCACGAAACCCCCCCCCCCCCCCCCCCCCTTGGCAAAAAGCTAGATCCGCCCCTGCTCTCCACTTGCTTCGTCCATATTATTTTACAAACTTTCATTTTCTTTGATTTTGATGAATGAATAGATTTTTTTCCATACAGGGGGTTGACTAGAAACAAATTTGCAATAATTATATTTAAGGTACATGAATGAGTGTAAAAGTCCTTTTCTTTTTGTAGTTCAGAGCAAATGTTCCTCTCATTTTCTGTTTCTATCAAAACCAAGTTAATATCAGGGACGACTTCCCTTTAAAAAAAAAATGTGCCTGTTAAATAAACAGGCACACACACAAAAAAAGATTGACAAATGGACATGTACTTAATATTTTGCACTTTCATGATTCAATAATCTAGCTTTAATCTAAATAAATGCTCCTAAAAACCTACACAACATTACCCAAACAATTCTTACTGAAATGGAGTAGAAAACAATTATACACTAAGTCACAGTCAAAATCAATGCACTATATAGTAAGTGGGATATATCTTTCAAGATTTATCCTATTTTCAGAAATATCAAAGCTAATAAGCTGTACTCACTTCTAGATCAGCTGTAAAAGGTCTGTAATATGCACCTCCACTCATATTCCAAGAATATTTTTATCTAAACTTCAATTAAAAGACCACTTTTGGCAAGAGCTAGCTTATTCTGTAATGTATCAAACTATTCAGACAGACTACTGCACTATATATACACAAGCACGTCATAACACTCACTATGTACTGTTTAGTGTATGACAAAAAATAGCTGCTCTAAATCTCTCTCCCTATTCAATGTGGATCTTTGAAAAGACAAACACACACAGTGAAAGAAAGCTGGATTTCGGATCAAAGATCGTGGCCTTCCCACACCCCAATGGGATCATACTGTTTATACACTACCCAGGCAACCAAGCATATAGGACTGATCCATTTTCCTCAAAGGGTGAACAAAAAATGTTAACAAGGATTATAAGTTTTTAAGTAGGTAAGGACTGTAGAATTGTATTGTAAGAAAAAATTAAACATAGAATGTAAACAAACAAAAGTTTAAAAGAAAGACAATTCAAGAATTTAATTATGATAGATCATAGGGTCCAACCCTGATATTGCTATGAAAACTGTCAAGATGTTATCACCTCCCAAACTGATCAACCCACTCACCCCTGTTAAAAAGTAGACAAGTCTATTCCACCTGACTGTACTACAAGCAGGTGCTTCATTGTGAGAAGTGTGAACTGTGGTATTGATTTCTGACAAGACACTGATTAGAAGTCAATGAATGGTCACTGAGTTGGATGATGGGATTTCCTATTGCCATAATGCATTTTCTCCTCCCTTTCCTTTCTCTATCAGTTTCTTTATTTCTTTCTTCTCTGTCTCGTACATTTTAATTTCATCCCCGATCCTCTTTCTCTTTCTTGAAAATTTCTCCCTTCCCAAGGTCTCTCCTCAGTGAGTTTTCTCATTTTTGTAATACATTTGGATCTCATCTTTTTTAAATTTATATTTTTTGTCATTTAATTAAGAAAAAAATATTTCATAGGCATATATTTTCTATTTATGTTTTCTATGATACTCAAATGAACAAGTCTTAAAAAAATAAAATGCATTACATAGAAGTGCAAGAGAAAATTCGCCTTTACATCGGCACATATATCATCACATTGCATAACAATGATTGTTCATCTTGTTAGTTTTCTCTCTAGCTCTTTCATATACTAATTTTTATCTCTCTCCCTCTCTCTCTCTCTCTCTCTCTCGCTCTCTCTGACAGATCCCCCCCCCCCATATATATAAAGATATATATATATATATATACAGTACATGATTACAGTGTTGAATCAACCACTTTAGAGGAAATGTACATAAAACCTGTTTACCCCTACATCACCCAAAGTATGCTCACATATCTGTGACAATGAAGCTCTGCCTGATGAAAGATAGTGTAATGTTTTGCTTTAGGATTTAGATATAGATTGCATTGGATTGTGATCCAAAACAAAAGAGAATCCCAATAACCCCCCCAAAAATAAATTTAAAAAAAGATATATACATATATATATATATATATAAAACAAAAATATATTAATGAAAAAAATACAAATACAAAAATACAACAAATGTATATACTGTACATGCATACATACATGTACATATATACATTAAATAAACAAATAAAAGAATATATATATTGATTAATTAATGAAATAATAAGAATCTTGAATTTCCCACTACCGGTAATTGATGATGTAATGCAAAACTGTGTCATGATGTAGAAATGATAAATTCTCATAATGCATACGAGGCTACATCAATAATTTGTTAATGCACATGTGATCTCATACATGTAATTTATATAAATGAGTATTAAAATTCAAATAAACAGGACACACTTTACATGGTTAAGTTGTCATTCACTTTAAATCATGCTAAAATCCTTTCACACAGATTTCAGGTCTTTGATAATTTGTTGAAAAAAACATACTAAGAATCTTTGATCATTTCACTGTCCTACCATTCAACAATACATACATAAATAAAGTGAACTCTGTTATTATCTCAAATTAGGGCAAGCCAAATTTTCCCTAAACTAGACTATGCGAAGCATTTATTATTTATTTGATTTGATAATTATTCACCACTCATGGGATAGACTGCCCTTGTCAGCTTATAGATGTTTTTCAAAGGGGTCCACTATCTTAGTTGAATCATTTTGTTTCTGGTCCCAACAGATTCAACTTATACACACTTAAATCTCAATTAGGTGCATGATGAAACTAAGCCATAATTATAAGAGACAGACAGAGACTTAAGTTTAGGACCAATTGACAAAAAGGAGTTTTGGCACCATGGCACCATCATCACAAAAGTACAATGACTACCAGATTTTTATTTATCAACTCAGTCAAAAAACACTAACACACAATGAAAACAAAAAATTCTTCGACACATATATTTCGTTATATATTGCATACCGTATTTGCCGGCGATAAGGCCGCACCGCCGCATAGGCCACACCCCAACTTTGACATTTCAAAGAGGGGGAAAAAAAAAAAAACCAACGGACAAAACAAAATAATTGTAATTTTCTCGTAAAACACTATTTTTTTTTTTACAAACTGATACCAAATTCATCAATATTCTTATAATTTACCGGGAATTTAGCTCAAAAAGTGATCGCGGGCAGATTTGGTGTCCGATATACCCCTACCACAATGTACGGTGTAATGCGAAACTGCATGAAATGGAAAAACAATATGGCGACTTTTGCAATGCACTGGCACGAACTTAGATCAAGATCTATCGGCAAATGTTTGTTTAGGAATTTATTTTCATATTCATGTCAACAATGCAAGATAAAATTGTCGGTAAGATGTGTTGAAATGTCCTGTAGTGTACCATAGTGGTATAGTTATTGTACCGTAAGTAGTCCCATACGTGCAAATTCGTGCTGGTTTTGACTTGATTTTTTTTTTTTTTTTTTTTTTTTACTCCTTCGCCGTAAAGGCCGCACCCCGACTTTTTGATATTTTCTCTTCCAAAAATACTGTGGCCTTTGCGCCGGCAAATACAGTACTTTAAAAAAAATCTTCAATTCATCCCCTATAGCAGGGCTCAACACTAGCAGTGTACCGTGATACAAGGGCACCCCAAATCAAAGTTCAGACAGTGAAATTTTTGATATCTTTAATAGGGCTTATGCATAGCAGACTCAAAAAAGTCCAACCGGTGCGCCTTTCCCAGCAAAAAAGTTAGTGTAGTGCCTTGCCTATAAACTTCAAGAAAGTATTTGTCATTTCCCAATAAAAGTGATCTCAAAGTGATTCTTCTAAAAAGCAATGTTGCAGGGTTAAGGACATAATATTTCATAAAATTGTACAATATGAAACTGCAAAATAATGCCACAATTAACTTTCCATTTCATTTAGGAAGACAATATTTCAACAAGTGTTTGTCTTCTTGGTAATCTTGAGCTCTGCATAGGGAACCGTCTGTCGAGAGAACATGGCTATCATTCATTGTGGATTTTTTATCCTGCAGTAAATTGAGTGCTTGAACCAGTAAAATAAGAAATCATCTTCAATAAAAACCACAACTCTCATTTGCACATACCGTAGTGACCTGTGTTTAGCACACACTTACCTTGATTTCCTTATCTTTCCAGGCTCATTACTCAGCCCCTAAACATTTTCTACCAAAATCGTTTGGCACATGTCATTTATTTTTTATCTTGAATATTCAGGGTGCATTTTGTTGGATTCTGTGAGAATTTTTTTTCTATCATAACCAGAACTCAAGCTGATCTTTGCCATTTGTATAACCAATCAAATCTTTTTTATTCATAATTCTTATCAGGTGTGCATGTCCCATTCACTATGTGGTTATCATATAATTCTTTATATGATGCTTCTTCACTACTGAAAGGGCTATCAATAACAAATAAACAAAAAACATTAATCAACTTACCAGTTTTTTCCGGGTATCTATGATCACCAAATCATAGAGAGGTTGGGGCAAAGGTGTGGTGGGTGGAGAATATGCAGGTTCAGGGTTCAAGCCTCCCCAGGTTGGTTCGATTGGGGGTAGAAGATCTTCAGGAGTTTCAGGAGATGTAAAACCATCCACGGACGGAAGGGTGTCCAATTTGGACACAGAGGGCAAAGAATCTGGGACCTAAATAGGGAACAGAAAGAGAAAAAGTGATTATTTGGATCAAACAGTTTTTGAGCGTCAAGTAATACCTGGCTGGAATGCTCCCCAGGGAGTGGAGATTGTGCACACAATGTACGCGGACAAGCACTGAATCCAATGACCGGGTAGTAGTATATCTGTATAGTGCTTAGAGACGTCTGAGATGTATTAAACGCTTTATAAAAGCTGAATATTATTATTATTATTATTAAATCTGGAGTGTTGGTTATGAAACAAGAAATATAAATGGCTGCCGATTGTGCACTCAGATTCAAATAAGAATAAGAAAAACACTTGACCACAAACATATTCACAAGTACAACAAAGCAATATCAATCTTATTGTGAAAATAAATGGCAACTGGCAATGTTCTTCTTTTGGCTAAAACTGTTAGATTATGAAGCGTATATTTAAGCAAGCAAGCTGCTCATTAATGCTAAACAATGTTTTTTGTTACTACAGAAACATCCCTTGTCAAAGACTATACATTGATTACTGCAGCAGTAATAACATAATTGAGTAGATCATGACCTGTGAAGAGGTCATCATGAATTGTGACTTACCCGAGATGTAAGTAGCCTGAGTGCAAGAGAGAGTGAGGGAGTTTTCTTGCCGTGAGTTGGTAGAACACACATCTATGGGGGAAAAACATCAAAAAAATATGCTATTCTACATCTTCATTTTCATAAACAGGGAGGGGGGGGGGGAACGAAAAAAATTATTTCTTTCTGAAATGGCTTTAATATCCAGGCAGAGAAATAAACCATGTTTCTTGGTGTTTTCAGATAAATCAATGACGCCGATTTTTCAATCTTTTCTACAAATGCGATCAAAATAATTTCAATTAATTCTTTGATAACTTTGTATTGACTGTTTTTTTAACTGTACTCTCCTTAATTGACTTTTTCTGTTAAATAAAGTTCATTAGATACATCTTTATTGTCCATTCAGCAATGGAAATTTGTTGTATTTACATGGTATATGGATACATAAATAGAAATATACACATTCATATAAAAAGACAAAATTCAATAAAAGATATTTTGAGTCAACAGAAAAATAAAAATATATCAACAACAACAAGCACAGACCTGCTATGCAACCCCCTCCTTCTTTTCTTCTACGGCTTCATTATTATTAAAGATAAACTTGAGTAGTGGTAATGCGATTGCATTGTAAAAGAAAAGGTGTGGAAAGGATCAGAAACAGTTGATCATGTAGCATGTAAGTATTGGTGTGCACTGCAAGGTTCTGGAGTCATCAAAATCATAATAAATTTGACCGAGTCTTGGTAAAGTAACAAGCACTCACATAGAAAGCTATATATGGGACAACACACATGGTGTCGGGGCTACTGGCTTGATTTCCTTGTCTTTCTATGCTCATTACTTAGCCAGTATACATTTTCTTCCAAAATTGTTTGGCACATGTCATTTATTTGTAATCTTGAACATTCAGTGTAAGTTTCGTTTGATTTTGTGAGAATTATTATTTTTTTTTTTACCAGTACTGGAGTTTATCTTTAAATTATAGAATTACAAAACATTCATGCCTTTGCAATATCTCTATATCTATACCAATGAGGTATTGCATCATTGCATCTGATAATGACAGATCCATTCTCCCGTTTTTTAATTCATTCTACTGTACCAAAATAATTCCTCACCTGAAGAGGTACATTAGGAATCCTGACCCCTAACTTCCCTCTGTTGTTGGTCAGAGCATTATAAACCCTGTTGTCCAAGAGAACCACAGCAAAACCAATGGGTCTGTGAGGGTGCCACATCGTGCCATCAAAGGCTGTAAACGAAGAAAAAAATTAAAAAATTGAAACGACTCTCGTTATACCTTGCGTATAAAAAGGCAAACCAATTTTGTATTAATTTCATTTGTATGAAAGCGGAAAAATAAGAGAAACAGAATGCCGAAAGTTTGAAAAAAAATCGGACCAATAATAAGAAAGTTATGAGGGTTCGAAATATGAGATCTCTAAAACTATGCGAATTTCAAATCAGTAATGTAATTGTAGTCACTCTCCTGTTTGTTGTGTACAAAAATACCATAAAAATCTGTTTCCTAAACGCCTTCTCCATAGGGGCACTACTCAAAATTGATTTTGGTAGCAAATTTCTAAAGATTCTCTAAAAAGAAATGACACTCCTGAGTCATAGATTTTGAAGGAAAAAAAATTGTTGGAACAAATAGGAAAATTGTCAGAAAATTTGTCAAAGTGACATTACAGACTCGGCCAATTTGAAGACGGTGCCCATACATCTAGCGGTTACAGCATTCGAAAATTCATAACTTTCTTATTTTTTGTCCTATTTCATAAATCTGCTTTCTTTCTAGAGTACCGGTAGTTTGCTATTAGCGTTGGATTTCACTCTAAGTCCAGGGATGGGATAGGTGCACAATGACCTTTATGCCTTGATCAGATATGATGCGGCAGGTTTTTTTTTTAACGATGATATAAAATGTAATAATTAGCATAACGTTTCTGTATCTAAAACAAAACAAGTGCTTGGTGAATATGCACAGAACCTTTGTTGCAGCCATTGCCATTTACACATTTTAAAAAAATCATGGAGGCTATTTTGCTGTGGTCTACCTAGTCATATCTGAACGATATGAAAACTTATGTTTTTCTGTCATCTTTGAAAGTATCTGTACACGAAAATATCGGGCCACACTTAAACTTTTTCAAAAAGACCATAGTCCCACCTGAGTTGACATCATAGAGCTCAATAACCACAGCCGCTGTACTGACAAACATGGACGCTAGCTCTCTCTCATGACAGAAGACAAAGGAGTGATCCCACTGCATATTATCTGAAACATCTGCTAGCCAAAGCTGTAGAAAGATAAGAACAATCATTACCATTAATAACACTTAACATGAGGGGCATTCACACAGCAAGCAAAAATGATAATTTTTATGACATTCTGGAGTATTGTCTGAAATAATTGCTAGGAAACTACCCATAATCACGATGAATAACCCAAATAAAAAAAAACCCCACCCCCACCTCTGGAGTGTGGTTTTTTAAATGTCTGTGGAAACTCCTTGTTTTTGCAGTGTAAATGCTTGCCTTAGAAACACAAGTGAATTTTTTTTCTGTTTTTGGTTCACGTGACTCTCCTGGCTTCCGTGCTAACACACACAGTGACAAGTACCACAAAGAACACTCAACATGCGGGGCGTTCACACTGCAAGCAAAAACCATTATATTTATATGACATTCTGGAGTTTTGCCTGAAGTTGCTAAGCAACTACCCATAAACTAATTTTGTCAAAGTTAAACTTTAATATTTTTTTGGACATGAACCCCTATACTTCTTATTAGGATCTAACATAGCATCAAACTACCGACCCTAACCATAACAGAACATAGTGCCCATATAAAAAAGATGGATATACAGAGGATACTGATGAATATGATTTCTACATTCTGGTTTTGCCTTTTCTTTTTTTTTCTTTCTTTTTCTCACCTGTGAATAGCCCTGATGCTTCCCCCTTGTTGCTGTCAGGAATGAGGAGGGATGTGGGACGGGCATCTCCACTACCAAGGGCTCCACACTCAGCAGGTGGGTGTGCTCACGAAAAGCATCTCTGAAAAACAATAATAATAATAATAATACAGTCAACCTGTCTATAGCGACCGCCCAAGGGAAACACAAAAAGTGGTCTTTGTAGACAGGTGGTTTTGTAGACAGGCTCCTTTAGTACATGTTTCAATGAGAAACCATTTTCAAGGGAAACAAAAAAGCGGTCTTTGTAGACAGGGGGTCACTAAAGCAGGTTTGACTGTATAGCGCTCATGCCTGTCAGACTTGACACTCCTGCCGTTCCACAAGTATTACCCCAGCCTTTAACATGGCTTCCATTATCATGGTACTCTAGCATTTCAAGGAAATAGTTCCTGCCAGGTACCCTTTTACATCACCAGGGTTGAGGCTGGCAAATGTAGTTTAATGTCTTCCCAAAGGACATAAGTGCCTTGGCAGGACTTGAATCGCAGACCTCGTGACCCACAGTCCAATGACATATCCACTATAACCACGACACCTCTACAACATACTAAAATGTCAGACATATCAGTTTCAAGGCTTTAAATATAATCTCATTCTCTTATATCTCTTACCCTCCACACAACACTTTGATGATCTGTCAAAATGCATTTATTTCAGAAGAATGGAATTTACATTGATTTCAAGATGACATAAACTTTTGTGACAAGTTTCACCTACCTGTACTTCTGGTAGTCAGGAACTATCTTTGTGACAGCCATGATGGAGCCCATAGCATCGTACAGACGACGGTCCAAGGATACTAGTCTTACTTCCAGACCATGGAAGGAGAAATCTCCACATTCTGGTAGCATGCTCAGCTTGCGATAGATAGTGATGTAGAGATGGATTGCACTGGGTGATAGAGGTACAGCCTGGATGAACAGAAATAATAGAGAAGCCTCAGAAAAAATACTTACAACTGAAACTCTTTACCCGCCACCATGTATCATTAACATTCATGATTTTAACGCATTCAAGGCTCATCTGTAACAGCATTTTCAATCGCATTATTTTATCATTCATTTATAAACTTAGTCCAACTCGTTGTACTCCACCAGGAGTGTTGAGCCATATATCATCAGATTCAGATTTAGCTTGATCCAACTGTTAAAAGTTCCATCCGGACTTCATTCCAAAAAAGGTTAGTGTGGAGCCCTGTTATAAGTGGTAAGTATAATTGTTAATGATGCAGAATAAGTAATTATGACAATAATTCTTCAAAAAGGTTAGCGTAAAGCCCTGGCTGCATGCTAACGTAAATTATCAATGAACCGCAAATAAGCATTCGATTCTGTTAAGGTCTTTCAGCCTTTAGGGTTAAAAGCTTTAACACTGCAAAGCTAAGGCAAATACTATTTAAATTGTCGATCCTCCCTTTATCACAAATGTTACATTTCTAAACTCTGTCAATTTCTCGTTTGAATTTGCTAATGTACTGAGCTTCCAAAAATACCTCATTTGAAGAGTGCAATTGTATCATTATTTGTGCCTATTTCTACACTTCTTCATTCAACCAGTATTGCTTTCAATCAGTTATTGTAGCCTAAACTAAGAAGGAATATCAGTATCTTACCTGTACTAGGTCTAAGTGATAATGATGAAATGGTTCAAGCAAAGACAGTGAGAGCTCAAAGGTTGAGATGTCAGTCTTGGTAGGTTGATCAACAATCTTCAACGTCAGAACTGCAAAGTTTGAACAAGGAGAGATATATGTTTTCATTGCATACCATATAATTCTTTATCATAATGGAAACTAGAAAGACTGGTGCCACTTGAAACCAAATCCTATACCAGGATCAGTTGAAACACGTTAGAGCAAGGCCCTGTTTCATACAACTAGTTGTAAATATCAAGTTACAAAACTGTTATAAGCTACTGAAATCATGGCATTTGATTGGCTGAAAGTAAATTTGCCATAGAAATTTAGCATTTATTATTGATAACAAGTTTTATGAAACAGGGCCCAGGTATACAAACAGGCGAAAGTTCCATATCGACAGAATATGCATCTTTATATGGAACAATGATAGTAATATCCAATTACAAGTGAAAACGGTCAAATTTCAAACAAAAGAATACGGTATGTGGTGTTACCGCAAACCTTGCTTAAATAACTGTTACTACTTTCAACAACAAAATTGGCTTTAAATATCAAACTGTGTATGGAGTGCTATCTGCAGGAGGTAGCTAGCTTCCACCATTTAACTTATTCCAAGAAAGGGATGATGCTCATTTTTCAATACAAGTGGTATTTCTGATTAATAAGAGGGTTATGACCATTTACTAATGAGTTCTTAGGTCTTTAAATACCATTAGACTGAGCTGAGGTACTATGAAAGCAGCAGGTATCTTACAGCATATAAATCCTCCATTGGAGTAATCGCAGTTATATCTATTTGGTAACTTTAATTACCCTAATTGTTTTACTACAAATTAAGGCTCTATTTTTTTTACCAGTAGACAGAGTTAAGTTAGCACTTTTGGCAGCAGATATCTTTGAGCATATAATATCCTCCTATACAGGACTAGTAAAAAATCCCAATAAGACTGAGAACGCTAATTACCAACAGGGTTTTACTACGAACTTAGTCTCTAGTTCTCACCATCAGATTAATAGTTAAGATACAAGAAGCAGCCAATACGTACAAGCATGTAACATTCCCACCCCAAAAACTGTTAAAACCAGCAATTCTAATCTATTTGGTAACTCTTATACCCTTTATAAAGAATTTTAACACAAAGTTCCTAGTTCTTACCATCAGACTGAGTTGAGCAACTATCAGCAGCCGGGATCTTACAGCATATCACCTCCTCCCATATAGGACTCATGGTAGGAGCAACGGTAGAATGGGTGCTCTGCCAAGGGGTCTGGGTATGAGGTACAGCTGCCCTGCCCTTGGAAGAACCTGGTAGAATCTTCCTACAACATGGAAGAATGGTAATACAGTCAAACCAGCTTTAGTGACCACCTGTCTACACATTTTTTGTTCCCCTTGATAATGGTTTCTCAATGAAACATGTACTAAAGGAAACCTGTCTACAATGACCACCTGTCTACAAAGACCACTTTTTGTGTTTCACTCTGGCGGTCGCTATAGACAGGTTTGACTGTACCACATATATTCTGTCAATTGCTCAGGGCTTTGTGTCATCAAAAGTAGAGATTAAGAGTAGGGGTTGGGTTTGAGGTTACATTTAGGGTTGGGTACAGTAAGAGGTCCTCCTCTTATGATGTTAGTCAGTATTCTGTTAGTGTAGGAAATGTTGGTGTCAAAGCATGGGTCATATAACTGGAAGAATATAGTAACGTTCAATATATGGATTTATGTTTTCTACCTCAGAGAAGTAGTGTGTTACCCAATAATGTTAATAGGATTGGCAAGCTCAGGTATTTGCCATATGTGTCCCATCAAGTTTCGCTGCCTGGTAGACTTGCACACATACTAATTAGTAATTCAATCGAATCCGGTGTCAGCGATCATAACACAATATATACACATGGAAATAGACGACTCTATGTCTATGACAAAAGACCTGCTCCCTGGGCACTTACCCTAGAACATAAGGGCGAGGGGTAGAATTGTCTCGCAGGGCAGACAACCCACTGGCAGCATGCACAACCACCACCACCTCCACCAGGTTGGGTAGTGCTATCATACCCGATGGTCTGCTAGGTTCTCTACGCTTTGGAGGGTCAAATGTCACCTGGGATAGAGGCCAAACAGAGGTAAAGAAAACATAATTCACTTAAATGTATTGTGATAATTAATGGATAGGATAATAATACCTGGAAAAGAACATGCATTGATTTTTGTGGTCTGATTAAAACTATTTCATGTTTCATTCTGACAAACATATCCAGATATAAATTTTAAAATTACTGAATGACAAGGAGCATATTAACAAAATCTGAATGGCACCGCTCATTGCATGGCAAGAAATGGGGAAAGAGTAAATCGTTTATCAAATAACCAACTAACCCAGCCGAAATCACGCATCTTTGAAGGAAAGGTATGATGTGTGCAGTGATAATCAACAAATGCATATCATGGATCATAATAATTTACAACAGGGATACATGTAAGAATAGATGGAATAAATGTGATGTTTCCGAGCAGCCTGAACCATGTAAACATTGAAATGTATCCTACACGACTCTTGCACTTAGCACGACTTACCACAGGTGGCACAGGAGGAGGGGTGGGGGTGCGCTGCCTGAGTACTAGTTCCGGCTCTGGTTCTGGTAAAGCCACAGGGAGAGGTTCTGGCCGGTCTTCTGGCAGGGGTTCCGGCTGAGGGGTTGGAACCATAGTAGGGGAGGGGAGAGGGGACGGGGTGGAGGGGATAGGTGAGGGAAGCTCTTGCGATCGAAGACTAGCCTAAAAGAAAAAATATACATTACAATGAATTAATACACATCTAGAATGTCATAAAAATGTCCACACAGACGGTTTATAAAATGTCATTTCTTATCACTATACAAAATTGTAAGTCATGATACATTTTAAACATTCTAGGTCTTCATCATGATGATCATACTGTCCACGCTTATAATTAAAAAAAATTATTATATACCGTACTGTCTTCATTACACTGGTGTACCTTTTAACTTGATTAATTACATGATGCAAGTAACTCGAGTTATTGTTAAATTGTGAAATAAATACTCAGGAATGTATTTTACAAAATATAGTATAGGGCTTGACCTATTAAAGTCTACTGTTATATCAAAGCAACAACTTAACCCCACTCTAAGATTTCTAACACAATAACTCAACATAGGCCAACTTAGACCCAGTACAAGGTTAAATCGTAACTAAAATGCAGGCTTTAGTGGTTTAGAACCAAGCAGATCGAGTTCATTACAGAAAGCCCTTTATACTAACTTCATATTTCACTATTCCAAGCTGGACGAGAATGGATTCCTCTGGAAGTTTAGTGACGAGTAACAGTTCTCCTGATTGCCTGTAGATCTCCTCACTGGTCCCTGCATGTGAGCTTTTCTTTCCCCTTGGATAAATGAGGAATGAGGACTCAGCTATCTTCTTGTTCTCTGTCTGATCATAGGCTGCTATCTCAAGGGTCACTTCTTTTCCTTTTCCATTTTGGCATAAGTCTAAATATATAAATAAATACAATGTGTATGTATACTTTTGTTTGAATTATTTGTTGTTAAATGTATTTTGTAACCGAATAAACGACTCTGAAGAGGATTTGTTTTAATGTGTATCATTGTAGGAACAGGAGGAGGAGGAGAGAAAAAAAATACTATAACAAAATCATCCCCTTTATGATGAAATTTGCATTATTTTTACTATGATGGTTCTTACTTACATGTAAATACAAAGTGAAGTATTGTTTATGAGCCTTTCACCCATACAGCAAGATTCCCACGTTGACATATCAAATAAAAGAGGAGATGTATTCTAAATAATTCAAAGTTTCTTCACTTTCAAAGTTATAAGATAGGGAAATATAATGTCAAAAGTCTACACAACATCAAATTACCTTTGGGCAAATAAAACGTGACATTATTTTTGGCAAATGAGATGTATCCATCCTGGTTCTCTGAAGATATTGCCACAACATCAGTGATGAAAATGTGATCTTTGACCTCTTCTTCAGACTCTCCAGATTGGTAGACGACCTCCTTTACTAAATCCTTCCTGGATGAAGCCGAGATGGTAAGCCTTAAGAAGACGTTTCCCAAAACATTGATGAGGACATTGTTGAGTTTGAATGTGAAGACAAAGGGGTTATCTGCAGCAGGACTCATGGTTTATTTTCAAGAACTTGTCCCACATCTGCATGCTCTTGACTTGACTTAATTGACCAATTGAAGTCCTGTTGAAATTAATCAAAAGTTTATTAGATTCCTATAAACCAAATAATTCTTCAGTACTTAACAAACTAGACTTAGCATTACAAAGAAGAAAAAAAGAAGAGATTGCTAGTAGACATTTTGTTGCAACACCCCATTTTTTAGTTCATGGGTAGAAACTTAAGTATGATTTTCATGACTGCTTTGACTATCATTCATATCTTCATCACAACATGATTTTGCATGTTCAACATGCTGGGCACTGCATTAACTACTTTATAATGCCAATCAGATCATGAAGTCTTTCACATGTTTTTTCATTTTTTATTTATTATTATCTTTATGTATTTTTAGTTTTAATTTGTTGTTATTATTTAATATAAACTGGTAATTAACATGAAAAAGGAAGCCACTATGTGCTCCACACAGTAGTAGTCCTTCATTGCATCACATGGCCTCCCCTTTTCTCACTCTTTCAAAGGAACAAGTGTTTTGCAAAACCTTAATATAGCCATAAACTGCATGGTATAGCAATGAGTCTTACATTAAAGCATTACTGACTACCTATATCTTTCTTTATACAATTAAGGGCATGCTAGTGATAGTGATTACTATCAATTTCTCACATAGCTCTACACACAGTGTCAGCGACACATGCTCAACATCACTCATCATACTATACTCTATAGTTTGTGTGAAATTAAGACACCCCCTATTTACTTGTCTTATTTTTTAATGTTTGTTGATTCTCAAAACTCTCACACCATGCACTGGACAAAACTCAACAGAATTAAACTCAATATATCGCCACTGTCTAGTGACAATTTACGACACCTAAATGGCACAGTAAAATACAATTAATTAAACTCTCTGATGTTTGAAATATTACTTAAGAAAATTTAAATTCGAAATATAACGTCGAGCAAGCATCAATCCTGGCGATAGGCGAAGAGCCGCTTCTTCTTCACTGTGAGCTGTGCGCAGTTCGTGATCATCGCGAGCGCTAAATCTCCCTACCACCCGAGCTGAGGCAGGGCCTGCGCCTGTCGACTGGTGGGACAAGTTAGTGATTGCTGCAAGAGCTTCGCCTTCGCCTCAGCTGCACCTTGCAAGTTAATTAATTGTATCCCTTGAATTAAAGAAATGCATTTATAAGGTATTCAATATCTCTCTGCATTTAAAATATTATTGTATCAAAGACATGCAAAAACATCCACTCACACAGTCTTTTCCACCAACAGATCCAAATTGTTGTCATAGTTTCGTGAAGCTGGAGCTCCACGGCCACTACACTGTAGCGCTCTCGATCATTTGCTAATCTTAGTGAGAAATAAGGCGTTGTGACTTAGATTTTAGTCAAATTTCTGACGTTTTTTTTAAATTAAAAAGTTTTGAATCTTGTTTTTCAAATACAGTACAAAAAATATTACAAGATATTTTATTAAAAAATAAAAATAATTGTGATTTTTTTTTAATTTTTATTTTTTCTTCTTTAGAAGATATTTTAAATAAATGTATTTCCTTGAAGAAAACTAATTACATCATCGATATGAGGGTATTTTTGGTAACAACCCCCCCCCTCCCCCAGGTGCCCAAGAATCACAGATCAGTAATCACCAGATATTTATTAAAAGATATATTATTGTAATAAACGAATTGAATCGAACGAATTGAACTCAGACTGAGCTTATTTTTAAATTCATTTCTGCCTTCTTTGGAGCAGTTCAAGCAGGGATATGAGAGTTAAACTGGTTCAAGGTGGCTCTTAATGAATCAATATAGTTCCCTTTCCAGGAACTGTACCACATAGAGCTGTATATAACAACTCTATGCTTTACCCTCATCTAGATGCTGAACAGGCGTTGATATTACCATAGACGTAGAAGTTGCCAAAATGATGATGGAGGCATCCGTCGGATCCCATGCAGGAATGATGGAATCTGTAATTAAAATGTGCCCCCATGCAATCCCCGGCTCCCCTCATACCCACACACGCACTTCGATCAGGTAATAGGTATCCCTGGACATACAATATCGCCTCGATCATTCAACCAAAGTTTGTGTCTGGAGACATTTCAGCATTCTTTTATGTTTGTGTTAAATTCAATTAAATTAAACGTTATAAAGTCATTCGAATATGATTATAAATTACATTAGTTTTCATGACGAATATCCCCTTTTATGATGATGTATCATAAAACTAAAGCAATTACTTTTGCTAATCTTAAACGCCCTCCCCCTAAAGAAAGGACTGATCTATCGATCTCACAAGACAATTTTTTTTCTCCATAGTTTTTTTGAATGATTCCAAAACAACATAAATCATTTTTAGAAATACAATTGGTTTTCATCTTGACATAATTCAATACATTTTCAATTCATAGATTGTACGATTGATGAAAACAATCAAAAGTGAAATCCGTTGTAACGTTATAAAACAAACTACCCCGTCCAACCAGACCCCCCCAAAAAAAAAAAAACAACAACAACAAACAAACAAACAAACAACAACAACAACAACAAACAAAACAAACAAAAAACAAAAACAAAAAAACCACACACACACATCGTAAACAAACATGCCCACCACCCGACCACAATTCCGCACCGACATACCATACACTTTTCCTATAATTGGAGCGTTTAAAGAAATGAATAAATTATTAAACGAGGCTATAATAATCCAGTGTTCAAAGTTCATGTAAATTTCACTTGTTCACACTTTTGTAAGGCTAATTTACCTCCCCTCACTCTGCAATATCCTTTGCTTCTTCCCTACATATTCCAACAGTTCATTTTGTTAATCACCCAAAGGCAATATTACGGACTTTCCCCTGCATCATATCCAATATTTCATTGCAAAAATAATTCTATTAAATATCTTTATATTCGTGAGGAAATTACCAGACAACCCTAAATGAATTTTCTCCCAATCGACAGACCTTAGCTCAAACTTAGCTATTCCGTTCTGCCCAGTGGCGTAATGAGCAAAAACATTTTTTTTTTTTGGGGGGGGGGGGGGGGGCTGACAAAAAAAAAGCGGCGAGGGAGCGGAGCGACCAAACCCCCTCCCAGAGTAAGAAGCATTTGCAATTTAAAGAACCAAATTAGACGCATTTTCAGGCACTTCCTGGAGTAATATGACGTAAAATTGCTTTTTCCTACCCCTTCCAAGAGTAAGGATCTTTCGCAATTTGAGAACCACATTTGGCGCATTAATGTCCACCGGCACTTGCCAATGTCCAAATGTCTATAAATTTAACCCTATACACCCGGGGCGCGTCTTATTTTTTCGTACCACGGCGAGGCCGGATTCCTGTTTTATCATGAATATTCATTAGGCAGGGTCGGGGAAAGTCTCGATTCTCTTAAATATTCATATCGAGGTGGGAATGCACGACGCGCGCTATACTCGCACAAAGTGAGAAGATTTAGTTCACGGAGAATGCATATGGGTGAGTAATTGATTGAAATATCAGTAGATTAAGAGAATTTAGTCATTAATTTGAAAAAGCTGTAATTCGTGATCTACTGTAATTTCGGCGCTAGTGTAGCAAGGTATCCAAAATATAGCCTACTAAAACAGACCTCAAATTTTAGACCCCAAATTTCGTGTTTATCATTATCTCTAGGGTTAGGGTTAGGGTTAGGGTTAGGGTTAGGGTTAGGGTAATGATGACCACAAAATTTGGGGTCTGAAATTTGGGGTCTGTTTTAGTAGGCTATATTTTGGATACCTTGCTACACTAGCGCCGTAATTTCTTTACATTTTGAGACTGTTCTCAACAGATTTGTGGGGAAAAGGCTAGGAAAATATTTCTCTTGAAATTGCACTTTGATTTTCATCGTCGTGAAGTAGTTTGACTGCGGTTTGCCTTCATGTCACCCTTTAGAGCCCCGGGGTTCCGGCAGGCCCTCGTTGGGGAATTTCGGTGCTCATCTGCATCAAGATAAAACTTTCTGATCAGGTTTTATTCCAAATTTGATCGTCATCGTGAATCTAATTCACCAATCATCCATTGAATTCAAATCTAGATTTAACGTTACACCTTAAAATAATCTATGAAGTATGATTTCTTTAATAATCCAAGAGGGTTAGTTCTTGTTTATATCTTTAGTAGATGCCGACTCTGTTGGCTATACTAGTATTACTAAGACTAAGTGCTATCCGTTCGCTCAGTTGCATCATTGGTGCGTGTCAACTTTTAGACCAAAATTGTTTGTGACCATGGATAATCAAACGGCTCCAAACCATATTTCATTTAGACGTAAACCTGGAACTTATTAATAAAAATATTCAAAAACAAACAAACTAGACCTAGGATTCATTTATTTAATGTTCAGATGTTGTGTGTGTCCAGTGTGCTTGTCAAGTTGTCATAACTTTTCTAGATCTAGACCTATATTAAAGATTTTTTCTTCTCCAAAGTGTGCAGTTCATTTGATACTTGTTGGACGTTGTATAAGAGAAGACCCCTAGGGTAGTCGACAATTATGTTTACTTATACGCAGAGGCGGCGGAGCAACTTCCAAAGTGGGGGGGGGGGGGGCACCAACAAAAAAACTTTCTTGAAAAAAGGGCACCTTCAGAGGGAAAATATACCATTTTTTTGACATTGGTATATACCCCTATTTTGTGATTACATTATCAGGGATGATTTCAATATTTGTTTCTCTTAATACAGCATTTAAGATATTGCTTAAGTATCATACTTTGCAGTTTTTGGCTTGCAGTGCGAAAAATTACATCTTATAAAGAGGAAAACCCAATCCTGATGGGGTTATATAAGCACAATCTCATAACGGAAGACTGAATAGATCTGTGATAAGTTACATAATTATAACATCTATAACTATGGGCAAGCGTAGCGAGCGAGCTTTGTGGGAAATTGCTTTTAGTCGCTTGAAATTAGGGACACGTTTAATGATGAGAGGAAAAGGGGACACTTATCGAAAGGGTTAAGACACTTATCAGAAAAGAAAAGAAGCATGTGTCAAAGTACAAAGGCTAATTATCAGAGGTGAAAATGGGGCACTTCTTACACCTAAACAAAGAGGCATGCACCAGGGATGATAAGAACATGGGCATTTGTCGACGGAAAAGAGGCACCCATCAGATTTTGATAGGGGGCATTTATAAGCAGTGAAAAGGGGCATTTATGAAAAAGGGATAGGTTCTTTATAAGAAAGGAAATAGGGTACATATCATTGTTAAAAGGGTAATGAGAAGGGGAAGTGGCTCTTATTAAAAAGAAAAAAAGGCACATGTTTAAATAAACGGGGCACTTATCAAAGACGAAAAGTAATACCGGTAATTATGATAAGGGGTAAGGGTGCTTATAAGGAAAAAAGGCATTATATAGGAAGGAAAAGGAGGACGTGTCAAAATAAAAGGGGCATTTATAAGAGATGAAAAGAGTACTGACTAGGAGGGGAAGGGGTGCTTGTCAAAGTAAAACAAGTATCTCTCAGAAGTGAATAGGGTCATTTACAAGAGATGAAAAGGGGCACTTAAGAGAATGAAAAGGAACTATTTTCATAGATGAAAAGGGGCATTTATGAGAAGGGAAAGGGCCTATTTTTAAATGGGGGCACTTATAAGAAAAAGGGGCACTTATTAAAAATGAAAGGGAGCACATGTGAAGATATAAGGTGCGCTTATCCAAGTTAAAAGGGGTAGTTATTAAAAGGGGAAGGGGCACTTTAAAAACTTAATAGGGGCACTTGTCAGAGTAAAAGGGGCACTTTTCCTATGTAAAAAGGGGCACTTTTCCTATGCAAAAAGGGGCACTTTTAGGGTACTTGACCAAATGGGAGGGCACTCTGCCCCCCCCCCCCCTCTCGGAGCGCCGCCTCTGCTTATATGGTATGTAGTCCACCTCTTCTTGTTATAATAAACTAATTCTACTTAGTACTGCTTCGTGTTCATAGGCCATAGAAACCACTGTTTGATGCACAAGTTAAATCTTCCATTTAGTTTTACTTTGTACTGTGGTTCATTAAATAGGAATGTTGATTTCCACACCATATTAAAATTAAGGCCAACCAATGCATAAAAATATCTATTAATTTGAATTATGCTAGATCTATTTTATTTTGTTAAGGAGAAAGGGATGCCTTGATTGTCGTATTGATTTTCTTCTTCTTTTTGTTCCAAAAGATTGAAACTGAAGAGCTGGAAGGAGGACATTACAACATCTCTTATATTTGCAAGATGAAGCAGAAAGTCCCATGCAGGTACAGTTATCAGGTTATTTAGCACACACATATTAAACGACCACCTATTAATTCACTCAAAAGGAAATGGAACTAAGTTGACATTGCAAGCATATATAGTGGAGGGTATATTTTATTCTAGTTCTGCACCTAGTATACAAATATTGATGTCTTTTCTTTCTTTGTTTACAAAGGAAAATTTGTCCTTATTTACAGGAGGTCCTGTGTTTAGAAGAGCCATATCAAATGCACATTGTAAGCACTACATGTAGGGTATACACAGGACCCCTCATTTTTTTTTTTGTAAGGGGTACTTTCACTTCTTGAGCAATGAAGATGAAGAAGAACACAAAATAAGATTGATAAAAGTCTGTTTATAGGATGTATTATGGTTGATATGTATCCATCAGTATCAGTTTTTAATTGAAGTACATGTACCTACTTTGTTTTCTCTCATGTAGGATGATGCCTCTCTACAGTGGATGATGAAGGCATTCTGGTTTGCAAACTCAGGAGAGGAACAAAGAACAGATGTTGACGGGATCATATCTAGAGATGCGGGCCTACTACACTTCATACGAGCAAGTGTGCTAATATACATGAAGGTACCCCCAATACATTTTTGTGGAACAAATGTCATGGAGAAAATTATAGATCTAAAACAGATATTTTTCATTGTCAGTTGACTTGTAAAAGAATAATTGACTTAATATCACAATTGTAATTTAGATTAAAAATTAAATGTCAATATAGATGAAATATAAGTCTACATTACGTATGTTTCAGTAGCATTATTTCCAGTACATTCTCTGGTCAAAGTTGTTTGGTCATTTTTTGTCCCATACTTAACCGAGTATTATTCAATTACCGGTATGAGCACGAGTTGTATTACATTGTATTACTTATTTCATACCTTGTCTGATCCGAGCTCCAGCAGGCCTATCGTCTTAATGGGATCATCAGTAATAATTTAAGATGCGGTCAGTATTTAAACTAGTCTTGTACAAAAAATAGTTTAGGTTTGCCCACTAGAACCCCAAGTTAATTTCAGTCCTTCCTTTTTCTGAGCAGGTATCAGGGTGTATGTTATTAGTCATTGTTGATTTTTTTATATCTTATTTCATTTTTCCATTCAACAGACTTGGGTTATATTTTTTTCTGAAAACTAGGCTACAACTTTAGTGATGGATGCAGAAGATATCTACACGAGACTACGTCTTAAAGATGCCACCCTCATATAATGAAAAAGGACAATAGAGATGGGTTTAAACTGGAATATTTACATGATATTTATTTGTTATTTGTATTATATGTTTGTAGAATACTACATTCAATAAAGCTAATGAAGTTTATCATCTTGTCGACTTTCAAATAATTAAAGATAACTAATCCTCAACGAATAAACATTAAAATTCTAACAATGTCAACTACCATCTTATAGGATGAAACTGAGGACTGGGCAGAAAGATTCTCCTTCAAATTTGATTGATAAAGGTCTATCAGTCTATATCAAAGATTGAATTAATCAATGATATTTTGATTATAATTATACATGTTAAAATTCATTCACCTCTATGGACTTCTGTATGGGAAGTTTTGTAGATTATGAAATTATTGCTACTTCAAGTATTGTATGTAAGAAGGTTTGAAAGACAACACTCTAAATGCATTAAATATGGAAACTGCTAATCCTCATTGCCTTTCGTATCCAAACTGGTAGCTTTCATAGAATCATGTTTCGATGCTTCCCAACTAAAGAAAACAGGGAGTGGGGGGGGGGGGGGGCTTGCTATCCTCTTATCTTATCCTCTGTACAAATATGATTATATGTTTATATTAGAAGGATTTAGAAAGTGAAATTTTGAATTATAGCATTACTGTTGGTAGAAGTAATGGCAGTGTCGGGAGGGGGGGGGGGGGTTCCTGGTGAAATTTACGGTATGCCAATGTCAAATTAATAAAAAAGAGAAAACTATTCTTAATAATAAAAATTATACAGTACATGGGCCTCCTAACAAAAACCCTGGTACCACTGTTGTGTTTTGAGTGTGTTTTTTTTTTTTGGGGGGGGGGGGGGCTGGCAAACCAATTACAAATTTCCAGTGTTAAATTCAATTTTTTTCTTTAACAAAATTATGTCAATATATTGTAATTAAACAATGTTTCACTTTCCTTTTTTTCAAGTTAGATATTTGAATAAAATGATTAACATACTTTCCGGTTTCTCTGGCCTCTACATTAAAAATGTTCTACTTCTAGCAAAGCTCCTGGAAAGGCTGCAAAAAGGGAGAGTGAAGAGAATGAAATTGAAATGTGGACAGTAATGGAGTGAATATGGAATGGTTGATGGTAGTTGATAACGAGTGAATGCAAATGAGTGGCAACAAGTACGACTGAAAGTGAGACAGAAAGGAATTGCAACAGGTTGCTCAGTCAAGAGAACAAACCTTGCAGAAGATAGTTTTCGAAAGACAGAGAAAGAGAGAAAAGGGGAATTATAAAAAAAGGAAAAGGGGGCATGTGTCAAAGGGGCATTTATGAGAAAGGGTTGGGGTTGGGGCTCCTATTAAACAGGGAAAGGGGCACATATCAAAAGGTAAAAGGGCACTTGTTAGAAAGTTTAAGGGGACGCGTGTCAAAGTAAAACAAAAATGAAAGGGCTTTTATCAGATATCACAAGGGGCACTTATGAAAATGGAACAGTGGCACTTATTATGAAGTTAAAGGGGCATTTGTTGAAGAAAAAGGGGCACCTGTCAGATTTGAATAGTGGGTAATTATCGCCAGGGCTGTAGCCAGAGTTTTTTTTTTGGGGGGGGGCACATACATGTAATTGATCGACGTCCTGGGGAGGGGTCAAAAAGAGTTCAACCGATCTTGGATTTTTTTTTTCTTCTTTTTTTTCTTCAATGTATGTGAAAGAATGTGTAGTTTTCTCTCGAGTTTGTCTCATCATGCGTGGGATCTGTGGGTGCTGGGGTTCCTGCAGCAACCCTGTACATGGATTTTCTTCAGTGGGTGCATATAACTCGTGGACTTCACATTGTAAACCTTCAAATGATGAATTATCATCGAGTCCCCCACCCCCCCCCCCCCCCCCCCCCCCTTCCCTCATTATTTTAGAAAGAAACCAAAGAGAACTTTTAAGAGAAAAAGAGAAAGGAAAGGAAAAAATGATAGCTAGGCCTAAACAAAAACAAGAGGCAAGATAAAAGAAAACAAGATTGAAAATATGGTATCAATATTATCTTGCTCCTTTCCCTTTTTCTTTTGTCTTCTTTTCATTTCAATTTTCTTTCAATTTATTTCTTTCTTCCTTGGTATCTATTCCGTATTCTTTATTTCTTCCATTCATTTATTATTTATATATATTTTACTTTTTAACTTTGTTATTCTTCTTTCTAATCCCATTTTTCTTTCTTCCTTTTCTTCCTTATGCAGTTAAGTGAGCATAGATCATAGAAATAATTTAAGTGCAATACACAAGTATTTTATTTTTGATAAATGTCTGTATGTAGGCCTATTCTTGTTATCTATTTTATACGGTTTATAATACTGTATCACAAGATACCATAATGCAACCTCTGCTTGTAATATTTAAAAAGCAAACCTAGAACTGATTATTTACCAATTCATGAAAAGAACTAGACTCCCATTAATCTCAGAAAAGTAGGCCTAGGCTACTCACAAATTGCCTATCAAGACTCTTATTTGAAATATATGCTATATATCTTGTCTACCGATACTGACATTTTGGCATTTACTAGTAATTAAACACAGCATTTATGACTGTATTATCTAAATGACCATGACATTGCTTTTCTATGTCATATTATAGGCCTGACATTAATCCAACGTACTTGTTACACACGATATTCGATGCTGCGCATGCCTCGATCATACATGAATATTCAAGAGAATCGAGACTTTCCCCGGCCCTGCCTAATGAATATTCATGATAAAACAGGAATCCGGGCTCGCCGTGGTACGAAAAAATAAGACGCCACCCGGCGAGACACAGTCCTCATTGCAACATATTCATGGGCCAATAAAATAAACCCTCGATTGACGGCGAGTTTACCGATACTACTCTTTCATGCCATATTCATCCGCAGGTCCAAGTCAAATTCCAACATGGCGGACAAAGGTAAAGAAATTTTAGTACTTACTTTTGAATCATGATTATTTGAGATATTGATCATGATGAATGTTGATTGAGTAATTGTGCATTATGAGTGATATTTACTTTATATACCTATACATTAATACCCCCACATACTTCCAGTAAGAACGAACTGTAAAGGTTTAAACCCGGGTTTAAACCAGTGAGCTTGCACGAGTCGCTCAGCTCCGCAGCACACCATGGCACTGTACTGGTGCACTGTACTGGTGCAGGTGCCGGTACTTTTTAGCAAATCATAAGCAGGCACATTTCACTGCTCGCGCTTGGTGGGCAGGGCCAGGGCAGGGCCCGGGGGTAGGCTAAGCTTGGTGACGTATGGCATGAATTATGAATAAATATTAAATTAAATATGATATTGACAATAAAAATTTTAAAGTGAAATTAGCAGTAGGGGCGCTGGTCCGAGAATGAGGATCGTCTGCATAAACGCGGACATTATCGTCCTAAAAAATAAGTTAAAGATCGTCCGCGAAAAAAGCTTGCTGGTTTCATTCCAGAATTTGTTTTTCGCATGGCCAACGTGCGGATCAGAAACATCTACGAAAATGCGGATGATCCTTATTTTTCCGGACGCGTCGGTGCGTACGATCCTCATTCTCGGACCAGCGCCCCTACTCATTTGCACCTGTACCTCTCAGAGACGCCAAGTTCAAAGATCGGCAATGCGTGACATTTTAATTTTTCGCCGCACAAGCGCGCGTGCGAGGGTATAACACACGTATAAGGTAGATCTATAGCCTTTTTTCTAAATCTAGCGTGCGCGCCTTGCGTGAGAGCATTTCCAGACCCTCCAAATGCGTGATGTCACGCCTAATGCGTGACACTTGGTAGCTCTGACCTCTGCATGAAGAGAGCATGAATTTTTGGAGACTATCAGAGAAAGTTTAATTAGGATGCCTTTTTAATATATTTACAACTAGAGGAAGAATATGAAAGAAAAGCAGATAATTTAGCTCTAGAGTGTGACTTGAATAACACAAGTATTTACTAATTTTCATTTGTTCTAATTTCTTGATTAAATCATTAGTTGTCCTGGGGTGTCAATTATCGATGCTGACGTTCTATAGCAAATTCTGCGATGAAACCGGCAAGCAAAAAATAAAATGTTGGAACATCCTTTTTTCCTAGCCTTAAGGGCTCTCTCGAAATGTTTTTTTAATGATATTATTCGAGAGAGCCTTAAACGGCTCCCATACCCCTGCACGGAGAGGCATGTAAACAAAACTCAAAAGTGGTCCAAAATCACACTTTCGCGCACCCGACCAATATTGGACAGTGGCTTTGATAAATTTTGTCCGAGTTTTGGTCTTAATTAGCGCTTTAATTTCAAAATCGGATCTAAAAATAACAAAATAAGAGCAATTTTCTTACCAGACCGATACAGCTCAGCTCCCTTTTCACGTGTACCGTGTGAATTCACGATGTCTACACAATGGTGATGACCTCTGACTGGCACTTCCGTAATTGTGGGTAAATTGTGCTGCTTCCGTATAATGCGCTGTATGAGTGTTATTCAGCGCATTATACGGAAGCAGCACATTTACGAAGTGCTAGTCAGAGGTCATCACCATTGTGTAGACATCGTGAATTCACACGGTACACGTGAAAAGGGAGCTGAGCTGTATCGGTCTGGTAAGAAAATTGCTCTTATTTTGTTATTTTTAGATCCGATTTTGAAATTAAAGCGCTAATTAAGACCAAAACTCGGACAAAATTTATCAAAGCCACTGTCCAATATTGGTCGGGTGCGCGAAAGTGTGATTTTGGACCACTTTTGAGTTTTGTTTACATGCCTCTCCGTGCAGGGGTATGGGAGCCGTTTAAGGCTCTCTCGAATAATATCATTAAAAAAACATTTCGAGAGAGCCCTTAAGGCTATTTTTTCCACACACGACAAACCTTGCACACTTGTAGTCCTACACTCCACGTAGAACTTTCCGCATTGAGCGCTGTGCACTTAGTTTACAATTTCATTTCATTTCATTTATTTTCATATTTCTCATAAACATACGTATATTTCAAATGAAGTACAAATTTTTTTTTTTCATTAACACATAATAATAACAAAAATAAGTGGTCAATATGAATTTGTGATTTAACTAAGAGAAATATGATGGGACCT